GACATCCGTGATGATTAACAGACTCTGCGATTATACGACTCAAATTCTACTTGGCTTTATTGCTCGCAGGCTTAGAACCTACTGAGGAGTCGAAGGCTTTGGGAGACCAAACCTTTGGAACGACTAGCTCCGTCGGACCACACGAGGGATTTGAAGTTAAATTTGGGAGGCACACATTACGTTCAACAAGTAAAACACCCACTAAAGCTTCAGTAGTCCAAGAGAACCATTTGTGCTTATCCTGAGCTATACAGGCAAGCTTTTATTTGCCAAGTTTCTGAAGTAATGAATTTTCAAGTTTGTTGAAATGCTCTACAACTAATACCAGATGCGCGGCAGAATCTACATATGGTACTGACTTTTCAAGAAGACTCATAACATATGTATCTAGTGTGGTCTTGAACTACGACTCTGAAAGGCATTGTTCACAACGGATTGCAGTAGGCAGACACGGACCTGCAATACCGCTTGGATTAGCTGAAACAAACCGCCTCACTCAAAGAGCAACGGTCATGCAATAGAATGTTAGATTCACTGTCATGTATCGAATGTTCGTTTTCAACTAATCACACGAGATTACCTTAAAAAAAACGTATAAATTATATGTGTTATTCATCGATTGTCGAACATCGATGCCATACGGAACCTCTCGATCTTATTGTTCGATTAACCCTCACATAACATGGAAGACATCTAGCCAGTTCGTAGTTTCGCGCTGTTAGGTAAATACTGTACTGTGTATAGGTTAAATGTAGGTTGGGCATGCGACAAGGTCCGGGTGGATGATTTTTCCCCTTCTAACTCCATTGCTAATGCTCTCCCCTTGCTCGTTTTCCTTTTGGCGATTGCCACTGACTGAGTGAAAAAGCCTAGGGTAAGTTTAGTGAGCCTAACTCACTCGTGTCAGGTCTTTTGTTTGTTAATTTTTACTCGCCGGCTGAACCCACTATCGAGCAAGCCGAAAGTTGACAACCGGTCTAAGCTAAATCACTTTTATCTCGCTAGCTGACTGCAAGCAGCGTGACCAATCCGTCGCCACTTGTTTATATTACCTGCTCGTCAATTAAGAGCTAGGAACTGCAATGTATGTATGCATACGTTATTATATTGACGAAACTTTAGGCGGAGCACAGGGTCATATCTCTTGTCTTCTACGGATCACCTCCTCCTTCTATCTGCCTTTCAAGTTAGTCTCCTGCTGTCAGCGAGCCGCTCCATTGAGAATTCGCTTCGAACACTTAACCTCAAATCTGTCCATTGAGGCGAATTGCTCAAGGCTGAGGTGCACGCCTATGAGAAGCTTGTTGGCAGCGCACGGCCAAGACAGTGCAAAGTAGAAAAGAGCGAGTAACCGTTAAGCTTTCTCCACCAGGCGGCGGAGTGCACGATGGTAGTAGTAGTAGTAGCACCAGCACCAGCGGAGGCATAGTCGACCAGGGCTTGGCTGTACCGTTGGTAATTGTTGCTGTTGCACCTGACTTTGCTATACGGTGATTGCGGTGGCAACGAAGGCGAAGCTAGCGGTTCTTTGGGGGTGCGCCAACGAGCGACTGAATCAATGTGCAAGTGCATATGTGGGAAAAGTTGTGGGGTTTCGATTCAAATAGGTAGAACCAACAGCAGGACGAACTACGAAAAGATAGCCTCGAGATCGGATCTGCGATGCTGCGGGTTGCGTTTGCGATTATGCTTGGATAGTGTTGCGACCGACTCGCGGCCTGCCCGTTAGTTGCCACAGAAAAGAAAGACTTCAACCGAAGGAGATCGCAGAATAAAATGACGGCCACTTATGCAATAATGCTACTATTGCTTTTCTGGTATGTAGAAAGAAAGTGAACATATGCAGTTGGCGTGTTTTAAGTAACGCCCGATGAGGCCACCGTTGCAAAAGCAGGTCCATCTGTGCGTGGGCGTGCTGCTTCGATGGGATGAAGAAAGGATCGTTTTCCGCCTTTTGGACGACAAAGAAGTCAAGGCGCGCCGAGCAGGCCGGGATCCAGGCAGCCAAAGTGCAAAGCAAAAAGCTCCAGCTAGAATAAGTAAAAGCTGGTGGCTTGTTCAAGGCCTTATTGGCCAAAAAAGGCAGAAGCCTTGGTTCCCCGTTTTCTTTGAAGTGCCTCCTTCTCCTTGTCCCCCTTTCGTTTTCGATCTCCATTCGCCATTCGTCTCGTCTAGCCTTTTTTGCAAGGACAAGCGTAGCGGTGCGGGGGGCAGTTTCCACAGCTGTGAAGCCGCTGTTTCATAATTCCCAACCTCCTTTGGTGGGAGAGTAAAGAGGGGCTTGAAAGCCCCTAGCAACAAACGCCGTTCAACATAGGAATGCAAAAATACTAAAGAAATAACGAAGTACAATCAGGTGCAGCGGCGATGTCAATAACATCAGTACCAGCGCAGAAAAGGCGAGAATTAGGTTGGCCTACACTAACCCAAGAGGTCACGTAAGTCAATCTTGTGCCAGTCGTAGAGAAATGTCCAAACGTACCACCGAAGTGTCAAATTGCAGTGTGACGACCCCAAACGCCCCACCCCAAACCTCCCGACTCATTTCTACACACATGAGCGCCGAACGCCCTGGCAATTTTCTATTGGAATATGACCAACGTCAAGTGATAGATCTGAACGGAGCTAGAAAGAAACCATCGATTTCTTAGCAGTAACTAACAAATTAATGGAAATCTCTTTAGCCCTGTAAGTCGCAGAAAAATAATTTTTACTTCTAGGTTTTCAGGAAGTATGTAAAAAGTGTATAATCTGCTTTAGTAAGTGTTAGAATTAGATGAGAACAAATTAGCGAGAAACCACAGAAGAACACAACAAAAATTGCGTTGGCATGTGTTAGCTCATTGTATTCAGCAGTTGAGTGTGCAAACACTTCTAAGTGTCTGGAAGCACATACACAAACATGCCTATATAAACATAAATACCACACACACATACATAAACACCTATAACATATACTGTGTACAGGTTTGCAGAAAAGTAGCATTTGCCAACTAACATCGGAGGTACAGGCCAACAATTTAGGATGGAAGTAGATGCGTTTCACGGATGAAGTGGTGACTGTTACTGCTTCCGCTCCGCTTCAAGCTTCCTCAGCTGAACAAGTACAAATCCGCTTCTAATATCCAAATTGACACCCTCTTGTTTTTGTCAATATTAACACTATTAGAGCAGATTCATCATAGCTATTCTTCTACGTGCTATTTTCGGTCTAAGTCATCGACAATCACTGACCTAGGCTCGGCATGGTAAATGGTAAATACTACATGGCTATTACTGTTTGTCTGCACTATCCTCTCGTAGTTCGATGTATGTATGTACCTGCCTATGAATTACATTTGTGTCGTAGGTAGTCTTACCATGTTTTTGCACGTCTGTCATATTTCCTATTCAGGTTTAATTTTCTGACCAAAAAAGTAAATAGTTATATTTGTTGCACGAATTTTACTGGATCGTTTTCATTCCCCCCGTGGTCCCCCTACAATGACACTCAATACCCGGTTCTTTAAACATATCGCATTCTGCTGCCATGATCATCGCTAGGCCTCTATGTAGATTAGGCCATGCAGGCGCCTAATATTAGAAGAGCGAATATATAGCATGGACAACAGTTGCGACGTACGATGTCCTGTTAAACATTAAGTGTATGGCGTGTTTCTTTAATGCATAGCTAATCAAGCGAAATAATAAATGGAATAATTAATGATAACATTTAAAATACGACATTTTTTTTTCAAATTTGATAATTGCTACACGTATTAATTATCCAGTTAACAGTAATTTGACAACTCGGCATTGAAATTTACAGACTGTGCGTTACAGTTCTCTAACTTCTACATGCTTGAACATGTTAGAATAATGCCGACATGCTAGCTTTGTCATCACGGTGTTCGGCATAAACTTAGTCGAAGAATGAGTATCATCTATTTACACATATGTTAAATTTTTTTATCTATAAACTGATAGAGGTTACGTCACTGCTTTACTGGCAACACAATTCATCAATCGTTAGGATCTGTTCGACGTGATGGCTTCCCACAACCTCACTGCATTTTAATTAGGTACAGATAGGTACGCCACAATACAGGTCGTCCGCTAGTTTAGAGGCCTTTCAGCATGGCAGTTTGGGAAGCAGCTGCACTATAGCGTGCTCTATTTACTTACTCATCGAGTATATACCAACGTTTCCAAAACTCGTGTTGTTGGAGCATTGATATCTCTATGACCCGATGGTTTGTCCGCCTAGTAAACGATTTGATGATCTTATGTTTTCGTAGACGCTTCGGATTTCGGCAATCAATGTGTGTCTGAAACGAAATTTTGGAAAAAAATTTGGAAAAAAAAGCATGAGCGTATACGAACGCCAACACGATTAAACCGCTTACCTCACCCCCAATGACCTAGTGGAACTGGGTTATGATATGCGCTTCATAAAAGTAGTAGCGCTGTTCGGCCAGCGTCGCTCAACGACCCGATACGAGACACCATGCTTACATTATATGTTGCGCGAATACGTGATAAAAATGTATAATATACTGTGAAAGGTAAAATTGATGTTAAATGTCCGAAGTTGACAACGAGCACCACGTGAGAACTGAATGTATGAAGTTTATTCTTCCAGTTCAATCTTCATTATTGATTTATATCTACAGCATGCGAAAAATACTCTGCGATAGCATTTATCAAGCTCGGAAAGCTAGATGTATCTTCTTTTTTGTAAATAAAAATCTCTAATTATGTTCGTTGTATATATATAACAATTTCAAATGTCGATATACTCCAATCGATTTATATTGGTGAACTTAAATTAACATCGAGCTGACAGAATCTAATCTAATACTACTCACGAACGCTTTCTTCCCTTGCACTTGCTCTGTGGCTATCGTCTTCACGGTTACTGCGCGGCATCTTCGCCGACCTTCTTCACTCGGTCCCCTGCTCTCATGACTGCTATTTACGCCGCTGTTGCTGTCGCCATTTCGCCTTCTACTGTCATGTAGAAGCGCCACTGGACGGCCGGTGGCAGCCGCGGGGCTCCTGAACAGCCACGGGAGCCATGGAGGGCTGGGGGGCAACGTCGCTTCAGCCGCCGACTCCGACGATGAGAAGTTCATCGGGAAAAGAACCAAGAAAAGGGGAAGTCTTTTCTTCAGGAAGAAAAAGGTAAGCAAAAACGCTTCGACCGCGTCGCAAGGCGCTCTTAAGGAGACAGCCACACGAGCTCACACAGCTCTTGCCCTGTCCAGGCAACTCAAATGCATCACCGACTACACCACGTCGCGTACTCCCCCTCCCTCCCCCCGATCGTAGCTATCCATTAAAGCTTCAAAATACATCGTTTTCCTTTTCGTTATTCGATCCATTGATGACTACGGAGGCGACGAAAGCCACCATTCTGTGCAGGTACTTGTACAGCGTACCTGGGATTTAAAGTTGACCAGGCCTTCGACCAGGAAGGGCGGCATGTGACGGTTCAAGTTATCCATTGGAAACAGAATGCAATCTAAACGTTCGCTTACCACATTTCTGGCTTTACAGTATCGTTAGGGCCTCGTAATAGGGAACTAAACGATGGGCCATGATGACGCCATCGAAATACTGCTACTTATATATCATTAAGGAATATTTATTTGTGCAAGGAATAACATTGTGAAGTTGTTCGATAAGTCTGTTGTGAAAATGCAGGGAAGGGAAAAATCGATTATATACAAGCAGGTTTAAATGTTGTTTTAGCATTAACCGTTTTATGTTCTATCTATAGATAATCAAACTAAATTAACCGATTAATAGAAATGAAGTGTTTAATTGTTCAATTCGTTCAGCTAAACATTCGAGATCTAATAATAAAGCCTTAATAAATAAACCTAGGAGGACTGTGCTAGCCTATATGCCTAATAATGGAGAAAATTTTCACACGGCAACAATATTTCAAAGCTTACTACCTAAGAATGTTCTCAGACCAGGCGTCAATAGGGGAAGCTGGGACCTGGTTCGTTTGTGGAACGGTAAGGATTATCATTGGCAACTTGAATAGATACGATTGCCGATCACGTTGCGTGGGGGCGAAGAACGCGAACGGGCCCGGTAACGCGTCTGTCACTCACTGCATATGAAGGAAGGGTCATTTGATTTCAAACGAGAACTACCGAAGTCCGTTATTCAGAATATCTAGTAAGCATTATGGTTTTTCTTGAGTATCGGAAAATACGTTTTTATAGTCCTAGCTAAATATGCCCAGAACAGGCCTTACTGAAGGCGAAACTCCACACATTACCCTAAATGCTCACAAATAATGTATCTACTCTACATTTCGTTTCGCCTGCACGAGTGAAGCCCATTTTTTCGTTCTATTCGTTCATAAAAACTAAGTGTCATTTAATTTAATCTATACCACTTACAAAGGAATATGTACGCGCAAAGACAGCACATTTTTGGGAGCAGGAGTTCAACCTCAGATCGTTCTCTTCTTTAGATTGCAGCTTCCTAACTTACGTTTTCAATAAGACACGGATGCATTTAGCATGTCATGCTAGTGGCGAATGACTATAGCAAATATAGGTTTTCTGTTTTGGACTGGGTCGAGAATTACTTGCACAGACCAAACGGCGTAGATGTTGATTGCATTGAGATGTGCGTCTTTCTCAGAATTGTCAGTCGAGCGAGTTGCACTTCATTGCTCACAATGATTCCACCATAGATTATTCGATCAGGACCGACTTAACCCATTTAGATAGGATAAGGAAAAGAAAAACAGTTTCTTGGCCGCCCACAAATGCTTCAAAACAAGCATAAAATATGGCATTTCAACTATTCTAGCAATATACAGAATATATAGAGCGACTGTCGCAAGGCCCAGATGAAAGGCAACGTTTGCAGGTGGCACCAAAGGACCCGAGTAAGGCCGGATCGCCCTCTTCTCAGGGAGGCACCCCTTCACCACCTCCGGGCAGGCCCATCGGCCACCAGTTTGTGGCCATTTCGTACAGCATTGGTTCAGTTCAGTGTCACGTGTGCTTCAAGTCGCTCGACAATCGACCCGCTCTACGATGTGAAATCTGTAACGTTGCTGTGCATGATGTACATTCGTGCCGTGACCAGATCGCCGACTGCACTAAGTTCAAGACATTGCTGAACAAGGTTGGTTGGTTGGTCAGGGCATGAGACAACAGAGAGTGAAAAAAACAAGCTCAAAACAACCTAGACAAGCTGGAGAACTATGGATTCGTGTGGATGGATGTGAGAGCGCAAAAAGACCAAAACCCAATCATCCCAAATTGACCAAAATTATTTCTGTTGGCTGACTGTTGGTCTGAGTGGATGATGACTGGTGAACATGAAATCGGAAGAGAACGATGTCTGATGGAAAAACAGCAAGAGTCAAATATGACTCATTTAAACTGCGAGTCTACCTGCCCGCTGATCTCACTGACTGTTTCCGTTCTAGGCTGCATTAACATAACCATCCAACTATCTCGGACAATTGCTGTCCTTAGTAGAATGATTGCTACCGTAGCTACCTTTTCTATCGCCGTCAAATCTATTGTTGAAGCCCTTGCCTCAAAAGCCCAATATTGTTTCCCGCTATATTCATCTAGACAGTACTGCTAATCAACTAATTCATTCCGTCCGGGCAGACTACGCTTAACTTCCCTTTTCTTTCCTGATCATTTTAGTACCTACCTGCTGAACACCTGCCCTAGCTTAAACCTGTCAGATCAACTAACCTCGTTGACCTTCTTATTTATTGTTAACTTGAATTGAACGATCGTTCGGAATTATTTTTGCTACAACCTGAGTTTTTCTCCAATTATATATATATATATATATATATATATATATATATATATATACTGCAATGTCCGCGTATGACTTAGTTAAATAAGTGCTCTTGTAAATAAAAAAAAAATGACCAGACGAGGTGGAGAATAGTACTTCAGAAGCATCATTATGTATTCATTTACTAAATGTCTAGTAAGTGCTACTGCTATCTAATTATTAGACATTTTTTTTTTTAAGTATATTTAGACGGCACGCTCGCTCACGAAACTTCTGGGCCTGTCTTTCAAGTTCTGCGTTTATTACGGAGTCAGAAAATGGCCGCTTCTTGACTGTACCGTTATTTTGTGTATCGGTTGTTAACTTGTGCGAACTTATGGTATATCTTGGCATTTTCAATTATACATACAGGATCCTTTATGCTTCAGCGTAAATTTATACATAAATTGAAACAGGGTCAACCGTTCTCAATTTCGTATACCCTAGCGTAATATTTTGCTCTTTCATATGCCTTTTGTGAAGTCTAGTTAAATTTACAATATGAAGATACTTAAAACCACTGTGCAGCTACGAAGACATGCGTATTGATAATGGCCAAGCGCTTGATTTCCAATGTCTAATCATCCAATACATTCAATTTGCCCGCTTCATGGAAAGCTGCTCGAGCGAAAAGAAAATGCTACAAGGTTATCATATATATATATATATATATATATAGATCCCTAGACGATATACCAACATATCTACCTAAATAAGGTTTAATTAGTATTATTGATACGTGTTCCTCCAAATCAATCTCTCTTCATCTAACTTCCATTTGACAGCAGTCCACGATCAAATGATGCCACACTATGCGCGATCTTTGATACCATTGACGAATTCCAATCGCAAAACTTTTCCATTATATCCATCTATATCTGTCCATATTAGACCCTATCAGTGCAGTAGGATTGAGCAGCAGGTAGTCTTGAAGCGACACGAGAGGACCTGAATATGGATTCGTTTGCAGGACTGAGTTGTCGAAATGGTTTCAATAACAATATGGCCACAGCGGAAGTCAGTTGTCGCTGATCGACTTTTGGCTTATTGCCTTCGGCCGGTCCGTGGTTTATACTGTCAACTCTGCGATCGGCCTATAATCACGTCGGGTTTGCCATCATATTGTGTATGTTCGCGACGAAGCGCACTATCCGCATCAACATAAACTGTAGTACCAGAGAGACAATTGTGCGCGGCATTGAGGCAACTGTTGAGGGAAACTATGCCGCCTCTTACCTACTAAAAGAAGCATTAGCTACGCCACCGTCTCCACTGTTGCCAGCAGCAGCGGTAGCCTTCTAGCCGGCGCTGGTATTATACATGTGACGACAACTGCCGAACGCACCCAGCAACATCTCGTTTGCCCTTGTCGCCGTGTCAACGTTTGTTGACGGCTCTAGTAGTTTAGGCACGTTGAGTCCTCCCGCATAGCCTAGAGGGAGCAAATTAATCGACGGACGCTATCCGCGGATTTTAGGCGACGGCCTACATTACTGCACATGATAACTTTAGATTCTGTGGACCAGTCAATGAGTAGCCATGGCGATAAAGTACTTCCCTATGAAGTCTTCGTTTCAAAATGAAACTGCAAATTTACGCTTGCTTTTCTAGCCGCACCTGTGTCTATTCGTGCTTTAACGACGTCAATGGATTTAGCTTCATGTGACGCGTAATCATGCGCAGAAGTTTTTTGACTGGATAACAGTGACTGAGATTAACAGCAAGAGATTAGAAAGTCCAGTTGGAAGCAATACGCCATTTTTCAACTTGGAGATCCGATTTCACTTATTGATTATTATATTACACAGATATTTCGTGTAGCGTTAAGTACAGAATACCAACGGGAACCAGACAGGCGTGCGGGGACTGTCTGGGCTCGTTCTGAACCGTGTGCGTAAGTTGCGCCGGCAGCGAAGCACAGTTTGTTTGTATATCCTCGCTGTTAAACCAAGCAGATCACGTTTGCTTAACTTCCCTAATCATGAAATCATTTCGGAAGACTGTGCATTATTATAGGCAGGAATAGAGGCGCGCCCTAGCTCACAGTATGTGCATGCAATTAGTGTGTAATGTAAAATGCAAAAGCTACAACAAACATAACCGAAATAAACTTGCTACTTGTTCCCTTACCCCCTTTCCCTTCCTTCCCCCCGCGCCCCCCCAAAAGATAATTTCTGCAGAAAAATACGTACTGTGTAGTAGAAAGAGAGGTATGGTTGTGTTCAGTGACCGTCGACGGCACACGTTAAGTCGATACGGGGTTGGGGCCATGAGTGACCATCGTGTCTATCGAGTGCACGACGGAATGCTTTCAATTGTCCACGCGCAGTTGGATTTACATCGCCCCTGACACCATCCGTTATCAGAACTATCTCCGCTGATGATATCTGATTCCATATTCCAGAGTATGCTGATCAACAAGTCAGCCAGTCAGCTCGCCGTCAAAGAAAGATCTTCCGCTAATCTCGCTTCAGGTAGGTGCCACATCGGTTATCATATCAGTTCCAACTTTATTAATAGTTACTAACAACAGCAGTGGTAGTAGATGTATACACAAGCTGATGTAGAGCTTGTGAGTTTACCAATGACTGACTGACTATAACTGTTGAGAGCAACATACGCAGCAGTAGCAGCAACAACGACGAAAACGTTGCGACGTGAGAATAGCATATTTTATCAACGTTTTTGTGGCTCTTGTGAAGAGCATTAGTGTTCTTCTTCTAGAAGATCGGCGGGAGAGGCTCACAAAGAGATCTGTTTGGGGTCGATATAGGAGAGATCAAGGCAGGCAGGTGGGCAATATAACTTCAATTCAGTAACTACAAGCCCTATAGCATTATACGATTGTGACGGCATCGAACACGTGTAGGCAAAGAGTTTAGGTATATGCCAGGATGGCAACAGGCGTCAGACATTAAATCAGCTGTTTTATGCCGCTGTCAGCATTCTTTCATTACTGGGGTTATCTCAGTGTTACTACCGTGATCCGATTTGTTGATTTAACAGGTATTCCATTCGAAAACCCTATGGGTGAGTAGCGATGCCTCAGAGAGAATGAGTACGAGCAGACCACCAAATGTGTGCATATAAAATGTACGAGTTATCTATTTGTGTCCACTTGTCCGCTCAGAAACGCCTGTCAAAGGCACTTCTGAGCTAGGAAGGCGCGTACGATTCTCACGCAGTCACACTGAGACCGCAATAGATGTTAAAAATATAACGCGTTACGTCCATATACGGCTATATATATTGTTATGGGTCGGCTCAATTTGCATTTTTTTTTCTTTATAAACGATATAAGCACGTATTTGATTCTGTCGCAAAAGATCCAGGATAATTAAACTCCAGCCCTAACTTCAACCGTTAGTTACTGGAAAGAAAGTTAACATGCATGTTTTCAGTACTCGCTGCAATTTCACTTGATGTCTTAGGCCAAAGTGACAACGCCGCCGCCGACGTCGCGCACGTAGCGAGGCTTTTGAGCTGTTCTAGCATACGGGACAAACAAATACAATAAACTTCTAGAGTACGCACAACATTTGTTTCAAAGCGTTCCACCCACCCTGTTGAAAACAAGTGTAATTTTCTATTTGTTAAAAGGAAGGTTCGTTCAAGGGGCAAGGCAATTCGTCATTATAGCCAAATCAGACGGTTAAGTTCTTCTGTATCAGAGTGTTTAAAAGGAGTTTCGGTCTAGCGCTTCACGTACTTCAATATTCAACATACAACCAATTACCGAACTGTGAATATTGAATCACTTTACATGAGCAGTTTAATTGACAGCGTAATCAGCCGTTTATGATGAACAAACAGAGCGGCCTATGCGATATTATATCGCGCCGTCGTTCTTGTTTTGTTTCTTTTTATTCGTCTAACAAACGACGTGAATGATAGTTAAATCTCATAGAATCTAGTATTAGGATCCAGGTTATCCTTATTTGGTGGAATTGCGTCGTATAGGCAGGTCCAGTGCTGCCGGTCAACGAGGGGCAAACAACAGAGCGTTCCGAAGATAGCATTACCCAAGTTCGGTAGACGTTTTCCTCTTTCGATTGGTTAGCGTAAGCCTCATAATGACTTGAGCGATTGTAAAAGTCCACGATTTCATGTTCAACTAACGAGCGAATTAATTATACATAAGCTTCATTAACAGACGTCTAGTAATAGGAGACGATAAACACCTTAGAGGACGAAGGTTGTCATGGATGCCCCACCAACGACCCGATGAAATCAAGCCTACGTAGCGATTACGATTGTTCAATTAGCTTGCGATGAAACGGCAGAGATCACCTGTGTAGTGCTTGCCCACTTGGCATCTTTCAAGTACGGCAACTAAGCCCACAAAAGTTCAATCCTTTCTTCCGAGATGGAAAAATGCCGTCGAAAATGAAAGAAACAGACGGACAGCCACACCGAGAGAAGCGGAAAGGATGCGAGAGGGTGGAGCTTCGTCTGATCGCCAACTGCAACCTCATATTAGAGAATCACACTACTGCACAGATGGGCACAGAAAGCTCTATCATATTTCTACGATCGGCTACGCAGTTGAGAGATCTCATTTCCAACGAGTATGGTGCTGCTACTATTGCCACAGATTCATTGGATCTAGGAAACACTTATTGTTAAAAGCTGCTCGAGCGGCCATCCTATATATGGCCTCGTGTAAGTTTTGTTACGTCCACGCAAGACAGTAGAGAGCTCGGCAATAGTCGATGAAAGCCATAGGATCGGCGAGCGTCTTGTCCATCCATCAATTTCAACTAGAGTGCAGTTAGTTACTGGCTACAAGATGTGGTTGACTCAAGCATTGGCCGCCTGCTAACCTTCGATCCTTGTGGCGATCTAGTGGCGATCAGCCAATAGCAACCGTGTCAATACGACTAAACGTTATAGAAGTGTCCGAGAAATCACAACACAGATCGAGTTCTGTAACAACGCCACTTATTTCAGGTGCTTTCCCAACTAATTAAGTAGGGGGAGTAAGGGCGTTCATCATCATAACTAGATAAAATAGATAAACCAACTAATCGAAAGCTTAAACGGTCTTTTCATTCATATATATATATATATATAGTTTGGTATCTTGATCACAGGTTCTCGGCGTTTGATTAAGGGTGAGATACTTTACACCTTCTATGTTCTCAGCGTGAACATCGTTTTGCCATTATAGATAGTATATTGAGAGTCATTCCCACAAGTAAAATTACCCATAGCAGAGAAGCTGAGTTAGCTTGAGCACATTGTTCTACGATTAAACAAGGCTCTTTCGAGTAGCAACGTGTTAACGCCATCATGTTGCTGGATTATGCAGGATGTTACCGCTGTCACGAAATGCTTGCAGTCAATTGTTTCTCATTATTACCCTTAAAAAATCACGTACAGAACAATATAACAACTCTTCGTCGATATCGAAATACTTCGCGAAATGCCAGGCGCAGTGAGTCGTCGTCTCTGACGACCTCACTTGTTCGCGTGTACAGTTAGACGCGCGTATAGCAATCTGATTTTAAAGTTACATCGTCTCTCAGCAATTGGCAGGTATCCAAATCTATACAAATATCCCCCTGGATTTCAAAAGGTTCGCTCAGTCTCGACGAGATAGCTTCATTCATAATCTCGATTAGTTGTACTAGCCGGCTCAATACGTTCAATAGCTCGACGCTGCTCAAGGCGCGACGCATATTTGTGATGCCTCAGATATTTTACCATTATAGTTTTGTCAAGAGTATATAAACCCGATTACCTTTCCCAGTCCTTTTACAGTTACTTTCATAAGCCGTAAGTTGGTATCGATCGAAAGCCATCGATGGCGTTATTGGCTGTTTTTAAAATTTCCAATTTTCTCGTGCTCTCAGCAAATTCGCTGTTAAACCTGCACTTCCCAGGGTTGGCTGCCTTATGCGTTTGTTACGCTTTAGACAGAGTTCTTTGTTATAGCATAGAACTGACACAGGCAAATGGTGTCGCGGTGACGCCTTGCATCTGTCATTACCTATTCGTTGTCATACGGCGGAAAGAAGACGCTGACACCTGAGTCACACTTAGGCCATTATCGGCTACACCTTGACAACGGCAACAACGGGGAAGAGATATAGTTGAATACGTGAAAATCGTCGATCTTGGGGGATTACAGAGTGACTAAACTGAATTGAAAGAGGAAAATGCAAGTTAATTCCTTGTCGCCAATTTTTTGATCCCCTCTAATCCCTTCCCAAGTAACTTTCAGCGTATTGACATTTTAACTGGCGTAAGTAATTGGTTTTACTCGAAGCTACTGCTCAAGCAACAATGAGCAATTGTGGTATAAACAGAATTTGTATAATGGAAAACTTGTTCTTTGTTCAGGCGTTATAACGGATTTTTGGCCATTATCGGCCCAGAGAGTCGGGGTCAATGGACGTCAGCTGCTCTATCCGTACTTGGAACTGAAAATGTTTGTATATGCTGATGATTACTGGTGGCCTTTGAATAAGTGAAACGCAAGTCAGATGATCGCGTAGTGCGTACGTACTAAAGCCGGTCGTATATAGTTCTGATGAAAAGGAGATTAGCAAAAATGATTACCTGAAACTTTTTTTTTTAAGTTTCACGAGTAGCTAAATCGAAGAGGACAGATTAAGACGGGACCACCACAGCCGTCAAGATAGTTCAGATATACGAAACTAATGCCGTAATTGGCTTAATTTAATCCATCTGTGTAGCCGGACATAAACGGAGGGAAACGGAATAATTTCGAAAAAAGACCAGCTCGCATTATGTAACGCTTCGTTCCGTATCCTGTACACTCTACGTACGGCGAGATAGGCGCACGAAACTAGAGACGCTACAAGTCGAAAGTATAATTGGCAGAAATTAAATTTCTTTGAGCCAAATCGTTACGTTGATGCATGCCTATTTCAGTGTCTAGCCTAGGCAATATGAAGGCGCTTAGTGTGACGACCAATTTGAGGCAGGCGAACCTCCACCCTTATCGATTCACAGAATGACGTCACTCATGAATGTCGTCCCTACAGCAGCATGGCACTGCTAGTGATTATGTCTCGAAAACAAATGCTTCTCTAGAGTAAACTGCTACAGCAAATGGTGGGCCGTAAGGTCAGGAAATAAAGTAGAAACCCGCGCCGAGTTAAATTAGACGATAACCTCCACGAACGTCACTGGGGCTCGGAAACTAGACAATGCACCCTCAAAGGGTCCTCTGCATTTGGGATTTTTCTTCTGTTCAGGAACAAGCGGAAACTGGCGCAGACGAAGATGATTATAGCGTCATTCTCGCTCTTGAACTTGCTGCTTTGGAAACCGTTTCGGTGAAGTGGAAAGTGGGAGTGAGTTACTTGGTGGGAGTAGAAGACTTAAAAAGGCTCGAGCGCAGCCACTGGGGCGCTCGTTTAATTCTTAGATGTTTCGGTGAAAGGAAAAGTCATGGGGGCCACTGTCGTGCCCTCCCCCGTCGTTACTGTTGGCAATGTCTTTCGATTCGTGTGTTTGTTGTTGTTCTGCTGTGGCTGCGATTTCTGCGTACAGGATGTATTATGCAGATCACGAAAAGGGGTTACGGATACGAACAAGTTGCATACATTTTATGTAAATATAAAAGCTCAAGGGAAAGGGCGGACGAATGGAAGATTTATCTGTGTACGAAACAGAAGAGATTAGCTAGATACGTATTGACTGTAAGCGAGCTTGAACTACATATTGTGGCCGGAATCGATTGCATGTCTATATTGAGGATTCACGGTAGATAAAAGTAAAAGGAAAAAAAAAGGAGACAAACACTCGCAGCTTACTAGATTAGACGCAGCAACTGCGAGATAATATCTTAAATTGATTTCGAATACCCTAGTCGATAGCCGTAATCTCGAACTCTTGTTCTTCATATAGCCTCATAAGAAATACCTCTACGTGTCCACTGAAGTCTACACGCGTATCTGTGAGACGTTCCGAAATAATCAGGTAGCCATGCGAATTGATAGAGACGTCGCGAAAACATGCGCAATGGTGAAACGTTAGTGCGAAAAACATGCATGTGAAAATTTGGTAGGACGAACACATTGTTTCAATGAGTATACAAGTATTTGAGTATGTGTTCCTATTTTATACGTTGTTTTCAATTACAGCTTTGAAGTCCAGTGCGTCGGGTTTAGGAAGTAAAGATCGTAAGCTGCAGCAGCCACAAGCAAGCAGCACCTTCTCTCGGAGTAATATCATACAGAATGTACAGACACTGCAGGTACACCATTTTCTCTAGATATGACTACTTACAATAGTGACTAATGACAGCTCACTCTGACGGATTGTGTTCTGTCTTAAGTAATCGCTTCGAACAGGCACAGATCTAGGCAAACGCATGAAAGGACATACGTAGTTCATATGACGACTGAGTCACAAATCTGCCTGCTTGTCTTGGACTAGGGAAATCCCTTGATTTAATCTGTCAGCATTCCTTAAGTTGATTTTTCCAAAAAAATAACCATTAACCTATTGGAGAATCAGTTTCTCATACAGGAGGCCTTCACAAATCTTCTTATGTTAATGCGCAAAATTGCTAACAGGTACCTTTCCCTCAACCATCCCCGTGTTTAGGGCGCTCTACGTAAATTCAGTAGAGCCGAATATACGAAAAGGCTGGTATCACAGCTACGATTCACAACATACAACGATATACGGGATTTGTCTCAGTCACATCGCATCGAATCATTTTAGGGGTACTCATACCAATAAGCTACCCCCATGCTCATCTCCCCATAAGTCGGCAAACGAGAAAACAAGCTGGATGCCAATTAAAATCGACTGCGCCAGAAGTTTGTCATCACTGTGCGACCCCTATCTTAGATAGGAGAAGGCAGTTCAGAATCATTCCTGTGTGTCGAGAATTTCGTTAGGACCGGAGAAAATTTACCGCAGGCTGATTTTCGAAACTAGAATTTTGGAGCCGAAACCATTTAGCCCCCCCGCCTCCCAGGAGCAACTCCTGAACTAGTTTAGCAATGACTGTTCCGTTTTTCCCTCCGAAAAATAGAACAAAAGGATGGGGATGAGTGTTTCGTGGACTATCTTTTACAGATTATGGCGGCAATACTACGGGAGGAACTGGATTTATCTTTTTCAAAGACCTGGAAAATGTTCAAGTTAGGATAACGAGCCATTAGTGATAATCGAAAAATGCCAGACGGAAGCACTGGCTGACAGACCAGAAATGGTATTGATTTCTCTAAATCTATATTAGTATATGGTACCTGTACAGCTAAAGAATGATTGCCAGTTTTTTTTACTAAATGCGGCAACCATGAGACATTTGGTTTGCAGGCAACGTCTAAAGATGTCAATCAAAGCATGCATGTTTTGTTTAGCCTTCCCATGAAGCTCGCACAATAATCGTGTAGATGCGAGCCTATATATGCACAGAATATGCGCTCTTACATAACGTAACCTCCATTAATGCCCTATCGCCTGAATGCTTTGTTGTTCGATTCAAATCCGAAGGAGCTCAGGCTCAGCGCTAACATATTATTCCTACGAATAGACACAACTATAATTTGAACGAAGCAAATGTTGTATTGAACTCCTCTATTTTTATGGAACTCGTGAGAGAAAACAGATTTCCGAGTTACTACGGGCCGCATCTCTGCGGTATTGATACAAATGTGAAAACAAACATATATGAAACTGTCCTATTTTTTCGTGGCATAGGCTATATGTTTCTATTAAACAGCGATAATTCCCTACACTTACACTCGTTTGCTGTGGTTTCCTTTTCAGAACGACACCACAGGCGGTTCTAGCAAGGAATCGTCGCCAAGGTTAGGTTCAAGCTTAATCGTTTGAATTCGTACTACAATATGACAATAGAGATCTTCTGACTTACGAAATACACGAACTGATAGCTATATCTATATATAATGATACTGAATATGAAACGTCACGATAAATAGGTTAGTATTACTTGTAGACCTTGGGGCAGGACCAGCAGTGAACAACAAAACGCCATAGTCACTATTACTCGTATGTGAAGCTTGTGCCAGTGGCACATTAAATTTAACCGAATGTGTAATTGTCCGAACTTTTGTATATATATATATATATATATATATATATATACATACACGGAAGCAACGGCAACTGTCAGAGGAAAATAGTCCTCTAATTTATGTGGTGGCTAGTCGGAGATATGCGGACTACGAACGGATCTTGGGATTGGCAATGGAACCATGCAGTCTCGCTGAGGATAAGTTCGGCGTTTAGGTCGGACGGTCCCATTTGGGCAGCTGTTATAGAATATGCTAGTCTGCCGAAAAAGAAATCCGTAGCATTCCTATTTCCCCTCTACATAAGCCAATTACACTTTAACGGGAGGTATGATAGCGCGCATGAGGTAAGGACAAAGGAAAGACATTGATGAACCTTTACGTTAGCACAAGAAGCGTATGGTGCAAATGGCCGACGGAACAAACGCTCTACCCCGCAATTACCGAAAAACGAGCACCTTACACAGGGGCTGATGCTTACCTATCATAAGGCATCCGCGTACTTGTGTAACATCTAAGAAAACTGGCTACTTCCATTTTTCATAATCACCGCCAGCGCTTTTCATTCGAGCTATAACCGGTATAGTCAGCTGTATGTGTTGTGGACACACTTTTTCTCTCTACCGAAAGCTGCACGGCCACTCCTAGAGATCCTAGCTACATGCAACAGTCGCCTGAGTATAATAATCGATTGCCATACTGATGTCTTCGTACGTGCTAGGTTTTGGTGCTAAGGAACTTGAATGTAATAAACCTACGCTGTTCTACGATAGCCGTTGCCGAATGCGAATTAAACTAACACAGGGTCTGGCAAAGATTACGATACAATAACGAAGCCATATCGGAACAATGGCTAATTAAACAAATTCAAGCCTCATTCGAAATGCTGCCGATACCCTTTCTGTACATATGTACATGCTGTTTGTTACAAAGCAGCTAATTCCCTGTACAAAGCGAAAAGCTAGCATTGCAAGCCTGAGTTTTATAACCGATTGTGCACTTTGCAGTGCTGGTTCATGCTGTGACGAACCCATAATATAGCGATTATCTTATTTGTCGCCTTAAAGACGGAAATCGTATGTTTCAATATGTCCGTTGATTTCCTATTAGTATTGGCAATCGGCACACATGGCCTGATCTATTTAAAGCTCAAAAACGTATAATAGAAGTAAAAAAAACAAAAAGATTATTGTAAGCTTAAAAAGCAAGCAGAGCTTTTATTGCACACGTTTTAGTATTTTCCGCTTAAACAAACTCTTAAGCGTTTAACTGGCCAGCCACTGCCCTAAATCAATGTGATCAATATTTCCAATAATTAGTACATCGACAGATTTATATATAATATATATATAACCAAAAAAACCGACTATATATAACCAAAAAAAATATTCGCGAAAGTTTAGTAGATCACTTAAACGATCATCTCGATTTGCTCTAGCTAACTCCGAGTTGCTTACCATTCTCATAAAACATACAATGCAAAATCGGCCTAATTGCCAATAGATCTTCAACAAACTTTTTCAATGTGAAATCACTAGTATATGTTACGTTACAACACTTTACCATAAATGATCAGGTCTCTTTCAGTAACATGGGCAGTCCAAGGCGAAGGTCTGCTTTACTTTACATGGCGGCCATTTTTTTTTATATAGAAATTTGATTTGAGCACACTTGACAACGCGATAAGTAGAAACACCAATGTAGGGTAACACATAGGGCCAGCTGCATCTAGCTATATTCCAGTCTTAGGATAATTTTTACTCAGTTCATTACTACCAGTAAAAGTTCGCCAGTAGACAGAAAAATGCCTGCTTTTATTTAATTTGCCACTGATAATCGAAGTAAGATGCCTTCTTGAGGTGCTCATTATGCCATCGAATTTCCAATCCATTGAGCAACGAGGCCGTATAGTAATTCAGAGTTTACTCTTCTTATACGATTAGTGAGCCAATTTGCCCGACAAGAACTCGTACGACTCACCACAAAATGTCGCCATTTTTTTCTACTTGCTGTTCGTTAGTGAAAATGTCCATAGGTCGTCGAGTTACTTCACTCCGTGCTTACTGAATGCCAAAAAAAGATCTCAAAGAAATTGAACGATGCGTGGGTTTTGAGTACGTGTGACGTCCAGTGAAGGCTTCTCTACCATTCATCATCACTGGATGGTGGCGAGCAGTAGTATATTGACGAATTAGCAGTGAATTAAATGATGAAATTATATCATTGTTTTGTTTCAAGTTTTGCCTTAAATGCAGAAAGCTATGCAAGACACTTCCGCAAGCAAACGCGGCGATACACGTCTCTACTTATCTATAAACCGGACAAAAATTTGACACCTTAAAAGAAAACGTTATCGAGATCATTAACCACAAACATACTAAATTTACTAATCGGGTCGCTTTTAGTTCGACTCGAAAGCCCCACGCCCCCAGTGGGGGTTACTCTCAGTGGAGGCGGGTGGCCACAAAACTTGGGGTCAAGTAAGTAGCTATCGACCGAAACCGTTATCCGAATCTCTTGAACCGGAATGATCGAACGACAAAACGACAAACGAGGCAGTGAATGTTTGCCGACTGATGGCCTTATCTGAAACTTACTTACTGTTCATGTAGAAGCCGTTCCACCTGCGTTCTGCCAGCTAACCTCTGACTAATACTATCATTAGAATCATTGTTAAATGCTATTACGGCTTAGTTTACCTGTAAAACATACGATGGACCGAGGCAGGAGGTCAACAAACATTTGACGTCTCGTTAAGGCTGCATCTGAACTTGCCGCTATCCCACAACCATTATGCTAGTTGCCCCACAATCCTCAGCAATGCAATCTACCAATACCTGATATCACTGATGCCCTCATGTCCACGAATACCAGCACCATTTCTCGTACAATTTCACACCATTTTCAAAGTTATATTTGAAAAAAGGAGATGATCACTTGCGAAACTTGTACTTTATGCAACTGTCTTTTTTTATGGTGGGCGTATAGAACTTACTGATTGCTTATCGCTTATCAGGTATGCACATGATAAATTATTTGTAGCCTATGCGTCTACTGTAGTTAAATACGTCATTGTAAACCTTTGTCTACCGTGTTAACATGTCTATTCTTTGCGGTCGTAATATAATTCGCCAGAAAATTTGCATTGTTGTTAGTAGAATGAAATACGTTGTATTTCTGTTAGACTTTCATATTGTATTGTGGAGTTGTTGTCACTTTTGACGGCACTGTGTCCTGATATACTGGCTCCCTTACTTACGAATGTGAGCATCGATTGCCGTCGATACTTAATAGGAAGTGATGGACCGATGACAGTCAAGCCGGTTCGAATTCATTTAGAGTAGATACGCTCTCTTCCAATATTTCTTTCCAGTCTCGTTCTCCCTGTCCAACTGTCATTTAAGCGGCTTGTTCAGCCGAAATGGGCTTGAGTCTGCCATCAGTCTCATTGCTTCCTCCAGCCTTTCTTCGAGAGAAAGATTTCATTAGCCGTTGGTCCGAGCCGCCTGAGCGCCTGACGAACAGTAATAGATCGTTGTGTTAGTTGCTTCAGATCACTTATTCACAACTTACCTCCATTGCTGCCTGTCACTTACTTCGCCTCTCTTCATCCAATGATTTTGTCTGCGGCCTCATTTCTAAACGCCAGCCAATTTCATGTAGACGTATGGAAAGACTCTTCGTCAGTATACATTTTCCGTGACAGTTTCCTCTCTCTGCTATCCTCATTTAATTTTTCGTCGTAAAACGCATGTGATGCTATAAAATTATGATAGCACTACTAGATAAACGATAACTCCTCTAATTATTAAAATCTTATCGCTGCAAATAAAGCGAGAGAGGAGAGAGAGAGAGAGAGAGAGAGAGAAAGAGAGGGAGGGAGTCAAAATTATCGTTACACGTGCCCCTATCAGGGCTCGTGTGTTGAGCTTCCTGAAAGGCCAGAGCAAAATACGTTCAATTGATTCTACGGGCAGTATCATTTGTTCTCCCTGTCGGGGGTGTCGGACTGTGCTCAGTTGTGCTCGAAATCAGTCAGTCAAAAAATGCATATAGTTCAGTTATTATCTGATTGGGTAGGTGCTCTGTTTCTACGCCATCAAATGTCAACTGGTTTTAATAAATTAAGTTTTCACTTTAAAAATGTGAGAACTTGGTTAATGTCAGTTACACACCTCCAATGACAGATGTACCATTGCTCTACAACACGAACCCAAACGTAGTCTTAGAGATAACTAAGGTAATAGCGGTTTCTCTACGATTCTACTTTTTTCATAGCAACTGCAAACAACTATAATAATCTTCAACTCTAGATCTATCTCAATAATCTTCAATGTGAATTTTCTTGCAAAAAAAATACAATAGCATAATAAAGTTAGCACACAGCGTTGATCAGCCAAGCGATTCGTGTTACATCGAACGTACTTTATTCATTCATACACGTTGATTGATTTTTCACACTTCGATATGAAAAACACGTGTGTGTGTGTGTGTGTGTGTGTGTATACATCATCAGTTATCCCTACGCGTAGGTCCTTCGTAGTCATGGGTTACGCGTTCCTATTCCTCACCAGTTGTGCTTCCAGATGCCGCTTATATCCTAAGTTACGAACTTACGATCATTTTCTATGTATATACGTGTTATTCTTGTCAGTTAACCACGATATTCTCAAGTTCGTCACGCACAGTTTAGTTATATTTTATCTTTCAATTGCCCGTTTCTCGGCGTAAGTTCTTCGTTCTGTCCGTGGCAATAAAGCTATACACAATCGATGTGCTGTGTTTTCCGCTCAAAATCATATTCTCTAATATATATATTGTTTTTTTTTTTTTTTTTTTATCAGATATATATCTGATAAAAAAGAAATGTATATGTATATAGGGTCCGTTTTTGACTGGTTACACTGACTGGGCATCTGTATGTCTCTCTCTATGAGCTCCGATCGCCCATAAATGAAAGGTGATCATTTGTCCATTAAAAAACTCTTTTTCCTACCTCAGATGCCAACTTTCGTGCTCGTTATATATGTACATCAATTGTTGCTCTTTTGAATCCATCGACGCAATAGGAACTGTCGGCCCTGTTCTATCGACGCTAGCCTAAAACAACTCACTATCTTGCCATGATTGAATATCTATTACATTGTTTGTCACTTCGATTATGACAGATACTACGACACTGGCACCAATAGCCGCTAGCTTTTGGACGAACGCCTTCATAGTCTTTGAACCGGCATCTGAAACATAATAGACCTCTCGTTAAACGCACGAATGGTTATCACGTCTTCCTATAAAAGCCCGCCATCTTTAAAAATATCAAAAATAACAGGAACAGTCTTTCTACTCGACTTTATTTGATATATATTTGTTCCGATCAACTAAACGGGCATGTGGTCGTTAGAAATTTCATCATAGCTATGACATGGATATTTATAGAGCGTAGTAAAAAATTCAGTTGGGTTGGCATTTAGGTTTTATTCTCACTTTTTGGTATAATAAAATCTAGTGCAATACCTCCCCAAAACAAGGCTGTTCATTGTTAAGGCTGCGCAAAAAAACCGTGCCCAGAGAACGGCGATAACAGGTGGGATTTCAGCGTTACACGCTAAGTGAACGTGTTTCCTCGAATTTATTTCAACTCATGGGGCATAACTTAAATTGCCCACAATCTGAAGCACGCAAATTTACATGCTTCATCTATATAGACACATATACACATTTCTTGCACAGTTCTTCGCGTACCTGAATTCCCTAGAACAATGTCTCAACAAACACTGATTTTCTCCAATGTAGAATTTGCACAATTCACTAACACCCCCATGTGTCATCAATGAATTTGTCTCTTGTAGGGACATTGATTTTATTTATAAAAACATGTCTACAATAACCATTTCTGTATTTTTTTTATGTAGCAAATAGATGATATATAGTTTTTATTAATTGTCGTGACGCATGCATGTACGGTCGTACTAAGCAGGCTGGATTTTTTTCTCATTTTTTTTTTCGTTTTTTTTTTTTTTTGTTATTCGACGATGCTAGCTAGCATCCACTCAATAAGCTGTCGGTTCATGTTATTAGATGTATATCACCTACATTGATAACCATGGTCTTATTTGTATTAGAATAGCGGTAGTGGAACATTATGTAAGTAGACTTGCTCCAGAATGGTCGTCAACATGTGGTGCACTCAGACGGCCAAATGTAACGCCACAACGCTTAGCTGATTGATACGTATGTTTAATCGTTTCGTTGCGTTGTCCCTATAGGTAGAATGTTTTACCCCATTTCATCGTGTATTATTGACTGATTGATCTGACCGATATGAACTCTGTTCATTCAACTGCGCATGAGTTGCGCGATCGCAACTGAGGGCCTGCTGAAGGCTCAGCCTGTGAAACAACCTTATTATGATACTCTTTATATTATGTGACTGAAAATTATGACTATGGCTTGCTGCTCTCGTAATAGAAATGAATCTTATCGTCCCTTCAGGATGTGAATGAAGCGCAGGGTCGATAACGACAAAACGTATCCGATGTAATTGGTGGCTAGCTTGCGTATCATATTATTATAATGATGAAAAACAGTTCAATGAAGACTTTAATTGAAACCTATCTGTCAATTAGTTCTGCGGCGAAAGGCAGTGGCACAACGGGAGAAGAGCTGGACTCGCCGCATGGACCGCATGGAGCGGATATGGCGGAATTGTATGCTGGGTCTCTGAATTTCCATGAGCCGGGTTCAGCCTCGATGGAATCGCTCGACTCTGGTAGCCAGGCGTTAGAGGAACTCATTGGAAGGGATCTCGATGATCCGATACTGCGACTACTTGATGACGAACCATCCCAATGGAGTGTCACCGTTGACAAAAAGGTAAGGTACATAGAAACGAAGTCCAGCTATAACTATACTATTAACGACTCGCCACCTACATCAGAGTTGACTTATCGAGGTTTTCATTGATATAGATTTCATCAAATTCAGTCCATATATGTGACTTCACATCGATGTTCCTTGGCCTAATCTCTGCCGGTTCTACCGGTTGTAAACGCTAGCAGTGTTGTGTAGCCGATACTTGCGCAACAAAGGGAACACGGATAGTAAATGAATAGGCCGATAGATTTTTATCAAAAGTATACTCCTATGTGAATGGCCATGATCTTAGAACTCCTAGTCAGTATCTATTTTTTAGTGAATTTAGATTCAGTTATATTAGTGTAAAGAAACAAGGTCCACGGCGACGCATCCGACTTGTTCTGTGTACGATGCGCACATAAGCGTGATTCAGCATTCGACACCGAATGAGCCCCGGTCAACGTACGAGCTAATACGAGCCATCACCGTTAGAGACGAATAGGCCGCATTACGTAGGTACTGAAGCAAGGGAGCCGCGGAAGAACGTGATCTACCCATTGATAGCGCACGCTTTCGCTAGATATAAACGACAAGACCAAAATCTCGTGTACGGAGATGCAGTATGACTGCACAAAAAATCATTTACATTGGGCGGATTGCCGTCGTGGTTTCGCTTAGGCATAATAGAATTACTACCCCAACTCGATGCGGATACACTCCGTTGCTGTTGCAAAAGCGTCTATCTGAGATTTATGCTACAATACATGACTGCAGACAGAACGCCACAAAGTAATAAGTACTAGTGTGCCTTCATTGAAATTGGGCGCATATATATATAATCGTAAGGAAGCGATCTTACAAGAACTTTTCCATTAGCGAACAAACGTAATACTTTAAATAGCTGATGAAGTTTCCTTACTATATGTTATGTACAAATCATTTCTGTACGAAGCTGGGTACGTGCAAGTTTTCATGCACACATACACACAGTTCAAAAGTGACCTGTAGATTTAGACCCGAGAAAAGACATTTGTATTATAGTCCAAAGTAGATTAGCAGCGATTAACATGATGTTTCGAGTTTTACGTCCGCCAGACAGGCGGCTGGCTAGCTTTCAGTCTGGTGAAACGAAGTCTGTCAGTCTGTTTCCGCGTTCGAACCTAGCCCATAGCGTTTCCCTTAGGGAGTAGGCAAATACGTTATTCACTGAGTGATTCCCGGGCAAATAGAGAATGTCAGTCACTTAGCTATTTCAACCGAAACGTATGGCGACACTGCAATGGGCGGGGCACCAACGAGACAGACGGCAGCGTGCCGCAGCTCATTGGTCAGACTACCGCTGTTCCGTTAGGTAATGGCGATCAGTTAGTTTATTCTGCCTCTTTTATATGGGTTTCAAATAAATAACCAATGTTTGTATAGCTTGCTTGTTCTAGACTGTACGAAACCTTGTAAAGATGTAGGCGGCAATCTGATTGGATGTTCCGAAATTTTGACTTCTATCACATTTCAATATACCGTTAGTGCGCATACAAGTAAAGGATTTACTATTAATTCGAACCAAATAAGAGCTAAAGGAATCGTAGCTATTGCATTCTGGGATTTTTACTCACTCTGATAACTTGTTGACCCTTCGTTTAGTGGCCTATAATGTCGGCTGAGTGTCTGTAACATTTCTCACGAAATAGGCATCGTATGATAGCTTTCCTAATGTCTAGGTCAATTCTGCGTCTCAGACGCCTAGAAAAGCCAAGAATAAATGGGAAGCGGCACGGTTCACGGTGAACTTTCCCGTCCGCCTCACTTCCTTAGCCATTTGAAACGTATATTCAAATATGTCTCCTGTTGTTTTCTTTTCAATTAGCTGCGTTGCTCTGTTATGTATCTTAGCTTCGTCGTGCGACCATATCTACCGCCTTCATATTGAAACCACGGAACACCATCGACGAATCCAGCCATCAACGAGCTCAAAAGCATTGGCGATTTATACAGACTGACTCCGCGTCCGTCAATGTAGCACTTGTAACAGGTTTCGCGTCTAGATACAGAGTACGGCACTTAGATTGGGAGCTTTCTCATGCGTAGTTTCTAAAACAATCTAAATAAAAATAGATGTTTTAACAATTTTTTTATACGTGCAAAAAGTTCCGTTTCTACCGTCGAAGCGTTTATCCAATTTAACTTCCATTCATGGCGCTTAGAACTTCACTGGAGTCGGCTCATTTCGAATGTTTTCTTTGTAAATATGCAAACACCTTGTTGGCAGCTTAAATGGGCAACTCGACGTTGCCCTATCGAGACTTCTCGGTCAGTAATGCCTTATATATATCTGACAGGTTCAAATATGGGCTGCCGATTTATAAGCCGATCAAAGCCCCGCATTAACCGGCTTATAAACCTCTTCGTTTCAAAACGCATAAGTTTTGCAGCTTTATGCGATGACACATCACTTCGTGGTTGAAAAATCCAGCTAAACTTCTTTAATATTGCATCTTCTTTCTGAAAAAGTGCTCAGGAGACCAAACTGAGAACATGAATTTTCGTCGGAAATCTGCTTTTATCTAAAATAGACGGGCCCCTTTGGTTGTACGCAAACCGGTCATAATTTCTGGAACGTATTCTTGAAAACGACAAAAAATAAATTTTCGGCACGGAAGAATTAAAAACGGCCTGCTTCATTCTTAAGGTAACTGAATAGAAAACAGTATCGTTGAAATGTTTTATCGTCCTCAGGGAGTATCTGTTGGGCTTACAACATATAACATGTACATTTACATCAGATTTCTCACCCAAACATTATCAGAAATGTAATTCTGGTTTGCAGCGATTAACTTGGGTCTGCACTGTTTTTTTTTTTCTCTACTGTGGATATTTTATTGTTGTGCTAGGACCGGTTTCTACTTGTTTTGCAAGCGCACACTTATTTCCAACATAGACACTGTCTATCTAGGAGTATCTGATAAGTTCATTATCTTGGACCTATACCAAGATTTGTACTGCGCCTGGGAATAGGACAATTGCTAACTTTCGCTTAACTTCCAATGCGCTGTTGTTTGACACATTCGATTTTATCATTTGGTTGTAAAAAAATTGGCTCTCTAAGTTACGGGTAGTAGCAGATGAGCGTATTCCCGTTGTGTCACAGTTTCACCCAGTTAAGTGCTGTACCGTATATGTAAAATGTGATGCTTGCAAGTTAGGCAAGACTGCTTGTTGTAACGGACATATGCTTATCCGCTACTCCTGGCATCATCCGAAAGCTAGTAGAGTTTTTCCAAAGCAAAACAAGGAACTTGGCGAAAAGCAATGCGTTATATCCGGAATGTGGCCGAAACTCAGCTAGTACTCAATCTTTACGCGCTGCTCGACCACCTCTGGCAAGATTTGTTATTCGAGTTCCCATACGGGTTCAGAAGAATTAAAGGAAGACATTCATGAAACAAATGAAATGATTCTCAATAGATTTTAAATCAAAAGAAACGGCGCAAAAAGTCATTTTTACTATAGCTAAGTGGTGCTATTGAAATTAGTAGCTATTTTAGATAGAAAAAAAAAACAACATCAATCACTGATTGGGGTCGACCAGACAAGCCTCAACAGTTAATCATTTCGGGACTGCGTTTTTGCATCTTTTGAATTTTCGAGCTGTATTAGTCTCTGATTAGTTTTCTGATCTTTGTTTTTTTATCAGGCTAAAATTTAGTAAACGTTTGATCGTATTTAATGTGTTTGAGCGACGTTTACATAACCTGTTCACATAACTTGATGACGCATGGCTAGTTCGAAAATGTTATTTGCAGATTAAAGAAGAACTATTTTATAAAGAGCTTATTGGTACTTCTGGACTCGAAAGTGTAATGGTGGTGGATGGTGATTGTGTTGAATAAACTATGACCGTTAAAACAAGAAAAATGCCCAATTTATCCTGCGTACTCTAATGTAACTACTTGCGCTACTCTCACGCCCATGGCCGGGTTTGAAAAAAAGCGTTGAAATACATTTCAGGTTGGCTTAAAGTTTTATGCTAATGGGATCTTGGGGGGCTGAGTAAGCCGTTCACACGAAACAAACGGCTGGACACCTACTGTTTGTCTCTAGTCGTCCGTCAACCATGTGAAAAAATTTGCTTGACTTTGACGGTCATAAAGGAAAAGCAGTGAACGAAACGAGTGGTCGGCGAACGGTGCCCCCTCCACGATAGCATATATGGCTGTACCGCAAGCCACACCAATTCGTTTTCTTCGCCATGTAAATTTAGTAGCCCCAGTTGTTAATCTGTTTTGTTAGCACAGATGAAATTTTAGCAGTAATCGAAGTATATCGCACAGTGTTATTTTTTGCTTTTAATTAATAAACTTTTGTTTTCCCTTGACTTTTCGCTATTCCACGAGCCCTATTTTCGAGCGACGTATGCAGGGTTGACATCTACGGAAAGCGCGAGGGCGCTAAACGCGAACATGGTTACGATGGCAGCGCCGACGCTGTACAGCGTCTGAAGGGCGGGCGGGAGTTTGGCGAGCGTCATCTGTCTTGTTGTTTAGGTCGAAAGATGTGTCCGAATTTTTCAGAAACTAGCCTTTGTTTTTAATAAGACACGAGTTGGCTTTTTACGTTGATGGCGGAATTCATGCATAAGCCACCTGCCACAGCGTTTGATATACCGCCAACCTAAGCATTCTTCTCTGTGTGTTCTTTTGTTTATAGTACTGATGGCGATAGGTATTTTAAACGTTATACATATATAATATTTCTTAGCATTTGTCATTTAGATCATTTAGAAGAGAAAGTATGCGCTGATTAGGGAATGCAGAGCTGGGAACAAGACGGGTCATTCGCGACCATGGCGTAACAGACAAACCATGAGTTCGGATTTATGATATAGCAATTAGCAGTATGAACGATATAGCAGTATTGAATGTTTCTGAGTAAATGTATTGGGTTTATTTTTGTGAATAAGCTTTACGCGGACCAGAGTTGACGATGGACTAACAAAAACGGTTCATGAAAATACTTTTTTTTCTATACTTTCACCCAGTTGAGATACTTCGAATATAAACTGTATGAGGTGTAATTCCAATAGGTCGTGTCACATACATTTTCCTCAAACAAAATTGCACGCACAAATACTTTATAATAAATACAGCCTGAATTGCGCTTCTTACTGTTATTACCATTACTAGAAAGCCCATTTGGTAATATGTCGAAATTTGAGCTGATAGCTAAGTGCCTATTAAAAACAACGCCCGATTGATGGCCGTTGATGAAATGAGTTGACTGATATAGACATTGGATCAATCAACGAAACGTATAGCAGTTTTGGCTGTGTGATCAAATGTGGGCTTTAAAAGCGTAAAACCCAACAGTCACGTTTTCCGTAGCGTGTCGTGCGGCTGTGCACAGATCCTACTACATTTTCGTCGTGCGTCGGGCACCCTGCTCGCCTGCGAACTTGCCTAGTTCTTGTACAAATATGCGATTTCAATATATAAGCAACGTTCGCCAGTCGGTTCATGTCGATATCATTGATCTGTTCCAACATGCGCCGTTCCCTGCCTAAGGGACGTTCGATACCAAGCTAACTTCTCAACACTAGCTCCAACTGCGTCACACAAGCGCGTTTTTCTAAGCTGGTCGTGTGTCAAGCTAATAATCTTAACCGAATTAAAACGTAGGTCGCGGAAACGCTAAAAGCGGCAGTGGACGCGATTGATATACGACGTTTTCTGTGACGCTGTGGCTAAATGGAAAAACGTGTAAATTTTATCCAAATGTCGTTGTAATATATTTAGAAGCAGGCGCCTCTACCGCTTCTCGTATCATATGGACTATGCGGCGCACTACTGGCTGCCCATTTCGCCAGCTAACCGATATCATCGGCCACAAAGCGAAGTTCGCTACAAAATAGTAAAATTCAATGGGCTTAGGATTTGTAGATATAGGGTAAAAGGTGCTAGATTGGATTGAAGTCCGTAATAGTTTATCCGTAATGTTACTTAATATGACATTAGATTGGGTAGATAGATGTAGAATCTCATTTTGTATCATCCAATTATATTTGGATATGAAGTACGCGCAACTATGCTAGGAGAATAGAGAAGTAGAATCAAAAGGAATTCATCAAGAAGATGGTAAGTGCTTTATTTACGTTTTATTATGAAAGTGTAGCGATAACGTGAAGGTATGATGGTAATCGGGTAGTTGTTATCACCTATTGAATTCAATTGCAGGTCGTCAAGAAACTGAAAGAGCGAGATGTCAAGCGACAGGAAGCTATATACGGTAGGGGCATTTGAAGCTTTTTTGATTGATATGCTCACATTGTTCCAACTCTGTCCGCCTTTCTAACTAGAAAAGGATCGCTGAAATGGCCAACAAAGTATCGGCAGAATACCGACCTAAACAAACTGCTTTTTCTATTTTAGAGCTCATCTTGACCGAAAAACATCACTGTGTCACCCTCAAGATAATGGAAAAGGTATAGAAAAAGATCACTGAGCCCCATATGGTTCCTACACGGCGAGATGAGTATATATATATATATATATATATATATATATATTGATTGCTGAAAGCTACTTCCGTGCTAGCTTTTTAGCGTTCTCCGTATTAGTATACTAAGATCCTTGCTTGACACTCGTGTAATATAAGCATTTTCTAAAAAGCTTATTGCCTCTGTCATATTGGTGTCAATCCGTTAGATCTACATGGATCGCATGTGTAACGAACTCCAGCTTCAACCAGAGATGGTGAATCGAATGTTTCCGCGTCTCGCTGAGCTTCTGTCGTTCCATTGTACGTTCCTCCTTTTGCTCAGGTCAAAGCAGGCACAGGCGAACCCCGACAACCAGACCATTGACACCATCGGGGACGTCCTGTTACAGATGGTAAACTAACGATCATTTTTTTTATCCTGCTTTCTTCAAATTTGTGATACGTCTGACCAAGCTTCTGCATTTCATATATTCTGTAAATGCTTGAATAATAGAGAGAATTTAGGTTTCGTGATACCTTTTGTAAGCTACAATTAAAACACTGCATGATTAGTCTGCTGAACGAAGCATTGCCATTATTATTACGAGCGCACTAACCCGTTTCGCAAGCGTCTTTCAAATATGAGTGAAATACTCTTCAGTTTTCATTAAATCTCTCTAGTGTTTTCATATCTGAAGAACGTGATTCGATATTTGCGATCTACGTCTTCAACGCAGCCTCTCCGTCGCGCTGTCTAAAGCTTATTTCGCCGTTTATCTGGTTACTGATGGTCTGCAGCTAAAGCCAGTCGGTTCATTAATATTTCTATTATCGTTGCTCCGTCGACGCTGGCGTCGCGATACAAATTTGTCCAAATAATACAAACTTCGTCCCTCCAAGCGTAATACTAACAGCTAGCCAGACTCCAAGTGTTTCGCTAAAATCGACTTGTTTTGCCTGATGTTTTTCTGAGCGCCGTGCTTACCTTAGCGGGCGGTTGTGCCCTATCTTATATAATACTTGGTAGGAAACGGTCTGCCGAATGGGCAAACGGGCGGGTCATTAAGATCTAACAGGAAGGCCGGCCCGCTGGAGACGACCACGTCAGCCGCAACAAAAGCAGAAACAGTAGTGGCAGTGAAATAGTACATAGGAATGATCATACCCAAACTAACAGGCATTCGGTCTGTTAGTAGTTTGGCTGTCGGCTGCAAATGGCCCTCACACATCTTATGCTCTGACCATTACTGAGGAAGCGGCTAGCGGCCATTGGAGAAGAGATAAAAAGTACAATGTAATAGGAATCGACGAAAAGTACTTCAATGCTACCGGCCACTAATTGACCAACAACTTGAGCTAATTGGAGTGGCCTGCGGCCCGATGCCCTGTTGTAGTTGACCTTATGATTGGGACTGCTTCAGCAGAGTACTGTCCTTGCATTAGGTGGTTTGGGCAGGAACAGCCTGAGAGGCAAATGTTGCCGGCACTCTACATTACACTTTGCTCATTTGCCCGATAGCCTGGAACAGATCGGAACACTGGAGTGTAATGTGGGCGTTCAGCAAGTGCTAAGATACCGGGAACGCCGCAGACATCAGTAGCAAGCGGCAGGGAAGGGAGGGATGGGCGGCACGTTCGGTGATCCGCAGTAATCGGTCATAAGGTGACGCAATCGTCGTTCTGTCTGTTTTCACCCCCACCTTGATAACCATAGACGAGGATTCACGAATCCTGCACATCGGCTTTTGAGAGAAACGTGGCACGGCAACCTTCGATGTGTTCTCTACTTGTTTGGTGGCCTTGCTTGCTCTCCAGTGGTTAGCCTTCGTCCGTGTTGGTTAGTGGAGGGGGAATCGTATGAGTTGAGCCAAATGACGTTCGCTTATGGTTATCACATTCGAGTCTTCTTTCCGTATTGCATCAGCATATAGTAACCAACAGAGGAGATACCGTCATGGCCAGTGAGATGCTTTCAACGCTTCACTGATGGTTGGAGCCTTTTCCGTTGAACAAGGCCGAAAAGAATGGGAAAAATATTGTCGTGACATTTTTGCTCTCATGTATCTTGAGAGAAATAAGACTGAGCTCTTTTTGCTCATTTCTGATGTGATTTCTGAGGTGTGACGCATCAGGTTGGGATATAATTTTCTCGGTCAGGTCGTTTCCCATAACCTGAAAGTAGGGAAAGACATAGCGTTGGTGACGACTTCAGATAGAAGCTCTAGAACGCCGTATTTGTGTGAATTCGTTATGTCCATTATATGGATTAGTCGAGATGCCGAATCAAAAATGCGAAAATTATTATAAGAAATAGACGACTTACCTTCTATTTATTTAAAGCAGCAAGTCAAATGGCTATTATTATTATGTATCAGATCGATTCGACAATACAAACATTTCGTCACTGAAAAAGCTGCATAGATATAATAGCTGCGTCGATTTGAATTTCATCAACTTACGCCAGACGGTCTATAATTTTCGACGGTCACAACAACTTTCTCGTCATAAAGCTATTGAAAAAAGTTTGTCACAGATGTGGCGGTATACCGCTGATAACTATATAAGCACCGAGGCCAAAGCAGCTTTGTTTATATAATGAGAGTCTGGTCAACGGTAAGAGGGTAACATAGGATCGCTTATCTACCTAAGTGAAGGAACAAAGCGAAACCTTGCCGAAGCAGCGATATTTAAAGCAAGCGGCGCCAGGGGAAAGGTTGATTTTGTTGGAATGCTCCATGGTCAATATCTGCATCTGTTACATCCGTTTCATTGACGGGAGAACTAGTAACTTAAACGGCGGTCGGGAGCAAAGGGTGACGAGTATTCCAAGAAACCATGTTCCAGTTAGGACACGAGTCAACCTTAGCCTTTCGTGCCAAGCCGTACTCCTTGACAGCTGCCATGTAAATTCAAATTGTATGGACGGTACTGCTGCGGGCTAATCCTATGTAGATCCAGAACAAATCCAAAAGTCAGTAACTCCAAGATCATTACTGATATACATAGGTGAAACTTTCATGAGATGGATTTACGTTTTAATGGGCAAAACATACAAGAAGAAGAACCTGCTTTAACTTCACACGAGAACCTCAGTGAGGATAGTGCCGACAGATGTTAAATATTCCATCCATTTTAATACTTCTAGTGCTGTTCAGCTCGAAGGTATGAAAGCGCTTATTTCTACATATAGTTCTAAAAGTAATTTTATGAAATTTTCTGTTTATAGTTTTAAGAGCGTATATGTCAGTAGTTTTTTAGTTGAAATAATTGTGCTCAGGGACTGCTTAGTTTTTGTTGACGAAATTCAGTGCTTCACTGACGCTAGCCTTAACGAACCAGTGAGGACGTACAGATACAATAGCTTTTCGTTAATTGAGTGATCCAAATCTGCGCATATTGCTATACACTTTGCAAGATTGGTAAAAATATAAATTTTACGATCGATAAAGTGCTTTGTTTGTTATCCATTTTGTCTCGTACAGATACTTAGAAATGTGCAACTATCATGTACGCCTATGTATATATAGGTATATATATATATATATATGTACTAGATCTGAAGTTTCATCTTACTATAATTACCCGCATGCTGCTGCGAAATAGTCGTGATATCCAACGACAAAGAGAACTCAGTTTTTTTTTTCCTTTTGTGTCTGCGTGAGAGATAAGCATCTTTATCATAGGGATTTATAATGCGAAGCAGATCCCCACGTATGCGCTCAGGCTCTATATACTAGTTTTTAATAACGACATACATTCGTCACCGCATTTTGCTACGATGACTTTTTACTAAAAAAGAAAGATTAGGGCTTTTGCATGAGACTCGTAGACTGGTGAAATGTGAAGGGTAGAGTTGCGATTGCATAAAACCAATTTGCCACAAGCTTGCGTAACTGCTTAATCGTGATAACTGAAAGTTTGTTGTTGTTACTGTTGTGTTCCTTTAACTTTAATTTTTTTGGCTTAAATACAGTTCCAAGGAGATAGTGCGACAAAAATGCTGACGGCATACGGCGCCTTCTGTTCAAGGCACAAGGATGCTGTTGCTGTCTACAAGGAGATGCTCAAAGCCGAGAAAAAATTTGCCCTCTTCATCGCGGTTAGTCGTTTTACTGCCACCCCAATTAAGCTGTTGTACTTTAAATAGACGACTTACCTTCTATTTAACCTTTACTTTGTGACAGGTAGGTTAAGTAGACTCAAACGTTCTACAGAAATGCGCACGTCCTCAATGAACGGAATTTATTATCGTTTCACAGAATTTGGATAGAGCTATACTTCTGACTTTACCGTTAGCATTTGTCGGCGTTAAGGATGTCAGGACCCTCTTTTAAATAATTTTTTTTTTTACGTTTTAATATAGATTAGCAGATTCTCCTTTGGGTTTCCTGTAGTCGCTGTTTTGATTTGTTGTAGACATACAAATAACAGAGTTCCTCTTGTTTTCTTAGAGACGGAGCCGTCTTGCATTGTGCAAGGGTCGCGGAATTCCAGAGTGCATCCTCCTGGTCACGCAGCGTCTAACGAAATACCCGCTAATGATTGACGCCCTAATCAAAAGTTCGAAAGATCATCCCGATGAAATCGAACGGCTCAAAGTTGCACAAGTCCTTGTCAAAGTGAGTACAAGTAAGGATAGCTTATACGTTATCGATGTCAACAGAAAAAAAACAACTTTAAAAAGTGCCTAACTCCATGTTGACTTGTTATTAAACGATATTACGCACTATATTACGAATAGCTCACTAGCCGCCGAGCAATTTACGAAACTCTGTTCGCTTCAGGTGGAAGAGGTGTGATGTTATAGACGCCAATGCACCGATGTATAAACAAATACTTTATTTTAACATTGAAAAGAAAGTAAAATTGTGCTGCACGCGCGTGGTCGGTTGGTGACGTCGTTTTCCAAGTCCGTACACATCGTTTTTGGTGGCAATAGCTTTTCACAATCTTTCCTTTGCTGTTACAGCCTGCAATCAGGGATAACGTTACTACCTTGAATGTTTGAGGCGTAAAGTCACTAAATCGTCTACATTTATACACTTTTTCTCACTTGGTATTACTTCATATGATGACATTATTAGGACGTGATTAACGGCGTCAACGCGCAGGTGGCTGAAGCAGAGCGGGATGCGCGACTTCTCGAGATCTACCATAAAGTGGACGCAAAGTCAACGGCGTACCTCAAGGGCCACAAATTTAAAAAGTCCGATCTGCTATCAAGCAATAGAAAACTCAGGCATGAGGGGACCATCTCTCTGAAGAATGCTCGCAACAAGCAATTAGGTTTGTAGAAAAAAAACAACGAAATTTTGTTGCTACTCTTTTTTTTCATCGAAACAATCCTGCATCGCGCTTTCCAGACGTTGCCTAAGACCCCTAAATCTGCGTTTTCTTCAATGTATCAGAAAGCTTTTTTCAGCAGGGGCACACTTTATAGTAGCAGGATAAAATGCAGCTGATAGTCTATTGCGGAGTTAGCCAATGTGTTTATTGAATTTTCAGACCTATTTTTTCTGTTCTCCCTCAATATGTCAGTCTACTATCTCTAGACATGCTTAAAGTCATTGTTCTATAGCTCTGGGCTTTTCTTTATTCGTGCTGCACAAGCTGTCCCGGCCGAATCCTTGGCCAGTGTCTCGACCAAAGACGCCAAGCCGTGTCCAATGGAAGACTTTGCTTTTTTTTATACTCATTATTAGTAATAGTGACACGCTACAAAAAGAAGATCGGTTTATTCCTTATTTGGCTGCCACATAGCGTATCAAAGTTTAAACTACTACTAGTATAAATGAAGCGCATGTCCCGTGTAGGATAGGAACTTCTGACCGCAACAGAAGACTGTCTGAAACAAAACCAGCGATTATTCCGTAGTTTCACAAAAGTCAAAACAAAAGGTAGGCAGACGATTAGTTAACATCAAGCTTGATATTATCGTACAATAAATCATGTTTGTTAGCGTGCGAAAATTCTGTTCGTTCCAGACGTTACGGCAGTACTGTTGTCAGATGTAATATTCTTCCTGCAAGAGAACAACCAAAAATATGTGTTCGCCGCATTCGATAATAAGGTAAAAAAAAAAACAATTTAGTTGTCATCTGGTCAAGGGTACGCAAACGGTGTACAAGATACCATATACGGTCATTGAATCATCATAAATTAGTGCTAACATCATATCAATATTGGATTATTACGATAAACATGGAAACGTTTAAATCAGATGACGTGTTTTGGAATGTACTACTGGAACTATATGCAATAAGAAAATGGACTTCAGTGAATGCGCAATATCCGACGGGTCAGGCGTCCTTTCACACAGTACGAGAAGCTGCTGGCCAGCTGCTAACGAAGCCTAATATCTGTGTTTGTTATCCCTTCCTTCCGTTTTCTCTTTTCAACCCACCTACCCCATGCTACTGTCATTGCTTCCGGGCTATTTCTCTCTTGCATTCTTTCTCCAAACTATTCTCGGCCTATCTGCCCATTTACCTCCGTGTAATATCGTGCTTCTGGCGCCACCGATGGCTTGCCCTTCGTTACCATCCGTCTTTGTCTCTTCACCCGCTATCGCTGTCAACATGCCTTTCTTGCTGGATACCACCGTCCTTTTGTCGCCATGTGCTACCGCGCGCGAATCGGTTGGCAATGGCGAATGGCCTGGGCTCGACCGACCACCTGATTTTGATGCTCGGTACGACCTGGTGGCCATAAACTGCGCCCTTGTGGCGGTGCTTCGGGTCGGTGAAATGGACGACCATTCAAAAAACCTCGGATACCATTCACTGGGGTGAATGGATGGCCTGATGGTCCGATCACGGGTGTCGTGTGCCAATTTAACAACTCAATCTGCTTTTTTTTTTCGTTGGACGAACTCTGGACGATTGTCAGCCGAGCGTGATCTCTCTGCACAAACTGCTTGTCCGAGAGAGAGCAGGCCAGGACGCCCGGGCGCTGTATCTCATCTCGTCCAACCCTGAGGAGCCCGAGATGTTCGAGTTCATCTGCGTCTCACCCAAGGATAAAGCCTTCTGGCTCGATGCCATTCGTAAGGCCATCGAGACCTGTCCAGCAGAAACCGATGACTCGCAGGAGAAAGGTTCGTTCGCCATTATTTTCGCTGCGGTCGTCGCCTGGAAGTTGCTGCTACCCGGGCACGGCCTGCAGCGACAACCTTATAAACACTTCTAATCACATAAGGAGGGATATACGGGGTAAAAGTAGATATTAGATCATGAATAAATGACGTTCAAAAACAATTTGGACACGAAGGCTCGGGGAAAACGGGCATATTGGTGTTGCCATTGCTAGATAAAAAAAAACTAATACAACATTCACTTGTATGGACGTAACTCTGCAACATCAGATAATGTCAGTTACAAAAAAGTCCCAAAGAAAAAGTAAACCATTGAAAAACAGCCTAAAAAGAAAAATTTAGCACAGCATAGGACTGACACAAAGATTGATTGGTTTTTTCATGTATCTACCAATCAAATGGCCGATATATGGACTGATGGACGTACTGGAATGGCGTGAAAATTGAATAAAACCTGAAGCAATATTAACTATCAGATTGTTAGAGCGTTAAGGTGGTGTCCCTGTCCGCAATTTCAGGCCATTTTTTAGGCTAAAAGCCCTCGATGAGTTCGCTTCTGCTTGCACACACACCATAAGTTGGAACTCGGCAGCGGCCAGTCGAGTCAGATTAGTGACTGCAAGATCTGAGCGCTTATGTGCGCCAGATGTGGCGGTCGAACCCTAGAAAAATCGGTAAACGATGCCAACGATGGCAATCGTTAACGCTGACATTTGTGTAGTTGACTGGCTGTCTGCCAAGGCTGTTGCTTAGGGTAGCGTTGTAAATACGAGTTGCGATAGGATCATTTGCCTCTTTCTCAGCCTCCATTAGTCTTTGCCCTACGTACGGTGTTGGACTACTGGCCGAAGAGCAACCCTATTCGGTTAGGGTACCGTCAGAGCCGCTTTATCTATGGGTTTGTACCATAATGATTGGTGGCGATAAGAATAGTGATAACGATGCTGCTCATGCCTTGTCTCCAAGGGGGCTGCTCCATCCCCTGGAAGCTGCCGCGTTGATGTCTATGGGGCAAAAGGGCTGCCGCGCCTACGTACGGTGTGTAACAACCAGAAAGAAGCCAAATCGATCAAGTTGTAGTTGCCATTACAAGTTGCAGCACCTGAAGTCCCAAATGAACCTTCGTTCATTGCTAGTATATTTTCTAATATTTAAAATAGTCTCTGCGTTGAGAGTACTTTATTCTGGCTGATTGGCGCCAATCAATCAGTGTTCCTCCTTCTGAGGAATCACAAAAAGCGGGCTAGAAAAAAATAACTTAATTTTTGTTTGGCGTATAGTTGTCGTAGACTAAAACTGTCATATTTACATGGTGAGCCTATTCGAAATTCGCGGTCTCCAATTATATGTTGAGAGTGACTTTCTATTACGATTGACACTCGCTTGCCCAATGTGGCGTGCGTGTTCCGTTTCGTTCGTTTGTCCTTGTTGTCCAAGGCTGTAGCAAAGAAAAGGAGCAAATTGGAGGGCAAAACACATTCGATCGCTGTTCAACTAGAGTAGACATTTATCTGTATACATTATTGGAATACACCAGTATACGCTTGCGTTGATGTCTCGTAGCCGGATCGGCGATAAAGCGACGCTATTCATAAATAGGCTTCCTAATGGATTACGCACCCCATAGTCACTTCAGTGGACTTCAAACGTATCGTGCATAAGTGCTGCCAGATTTTGCACCAACCGTAAAAAGATGCTCAGCAGCAAAAGAAAGAAAGAACGTCTTTTGCACCGTCATAATCTCTATAACTCAGAGACGATGACGTTATGTTTTTTGCGCATTGCTATAGGTCCCGTCCATGTCGTTCTGTTAGTGCCATTGAGATGAATTCGATTTGTATTGATTTTATGTTTAATACAAAGTTTCTGATTTGGCTCCTCGCTCATCGCATACCGATCAGGGTCACGAATGTAACTGAAAACGTTACTGGAGCCGAGGTCTAAATTTTTCTTCCTGCTTTCATTTTTCTCGAGTCGTTACCGCCTCAACTGTTAACCTATAATAAAATCTACAACCGGCTAATTGGGCTGTGAAATTAATACGCCCGTAACATCTCAAAGACCTACTAGCTTAGATTACAATATATTCAGGCAATATTTTATAATTCCCTGTTGACGAGTCTTGTCTTTGGTCATGTGTAGCTAATATTACTTGTTTGTAAATTTTCACGTATGCAATTTAACGTATTGATCCGAAGGTTCATCTAACTTTAGAGATGGCTGCACTATCATTATCGACCAGCTTCTACTTATTTACAGTTGATGACTTGCTCTTATATTACTCGTAACATTTGAACAAGTACCTCTTTTAAAAATTTTTTCGCTATTGTTCCACGTACGGCGCAACCCAGCACGACCTGGTCAAGCTGGTTCGAATCCTGATTTTTTAGCGCCATTTTTTTTATATGCCGTCAAAACGATGCTGTGCTCCATGCCAAAGGGCATTGCAGGCTGTTTCTAACGAGAGCATTTTTGTACTACACGAATGTGCTGACATTGTTACAGATGCCGAAGAAGTGGCTCGCGCCGATCGACTGCGTCACTTACAGATCTTGCTTCATGATGGAGACCGATCTATTGCGCAAATCTGCCAGGTGAAGCTGACAATCCTCATCGAAATGTTAGAGATCATCGGAGTGGATCAGGATACTATTGATAAGGTATGGCTGCAGCACAGCAGGATTACGATAACGCGCAACGCAGACGACTGCTTCTATCTTAGCGGATTCCTAGCGGTGACGGATGTATGCGTTCTTGTGAGTTTTATTATTAAAATAAAACTGACGCCAGTTATTTAATGAACATGATTATGTCTGCTCAACAACGGACTACTTCGCCGTACCAGCTAACTTTTCCGATACAATCCTTCGCGTCGAAGCACACTTACCAATGTGAAGTAACCCTCCTCATCTAGAGCATTCAAATCCATCCGTACGCGCAGACACTTTCCTCCAATCATTACTAATCATATGATCTCTAATATAAGATAACAGATTGAGTAACCAAAACCTATTGAACTCGTCACTCCTCTACATAGATTAATCCCCGCGACTTCAAATACGGCGACTTACTCCAGAAACTGTCGCCGGAAGAGACTAATCAGATGTTGCTTACGGCAGCTAGTCAGGTGCATCAAATTTTCGCGCGGATTCCCGTCCCACTCCCACCGCTGCCAGGATCGGATGGAACAAACCAAGATTATCGGCGCAACAGCGTTGACGTCAACGATAGCGCACATCAAAGTCTGGGACGAAGCGTCAGCAGTGCGGGAGAGCACCAGAGCGCTGCCAGCAACTGCTTAGATGTAACCGCTATGTTGCCCAAGCGGGCGGAGACCTTTGGGGGCTTCGACGCAAATACACAGAAAGGTACAAACAAATTCAAAATAGGGCCTGATTATCTTTCAATGGTCGATAAAGAACTGCGCTGTAGACTAGGTGCTTAGCGTTACGTACATAGCCTTTGGGCTCAAATTAGAACAGATCTGATTTACGATTCACCGCCCATTTCGAAGCGGATGTATATGGCATGTATCCCGCTCTTGTAGTTCCATTTGTCACAATTGAGCAAGCACCAATTTCTGTAATTTCATTATACATGATTGTTGAAAGAACAATAAAACCAGAATCTAGCGTTTACTTTCATGTTTCGCTACTTTTGACTAGATATCGTTCATGTAGTCTCCTATATAAAACTTATCTGATCATTCATGCGACCCCAGTCGGTCGGTGGATAGAGCCGGGCGAGCAGTTTTCTCAGTGGTATCATGGACTCTGCGCACTATTATGCGCCATAGTAGGTTTTTAAGACAGGATCGAGGCGATAACGATGTGTGATTTTTCTTCGAATGTCTAACTACAAAGGCCGAGGGTCAGCGATATTGTAAGAACGTTTTTTGCGAACATTTTTTTTTGTCTCAAAAGCAAAGTATATATGGAAGTGTTTTTTGTCATAACGGAAGAACAGCTAAAAACAAAGTTGTTAATAATATATCCGATGGTGAAAGAGCCGAAGTATTTTCTACGCGTATATATTTGGGGTGTCGTTGTTAATTTTGAGTCGACATTTTTAACCACCCAGGTGGCGTTCCTTCAGGATTGCCCCCATATCTGACTGGTAAGACTTGCGAACAAAATTTCCTGCCCGCTAGAACGAGTCTGTCCTCGTTAGACTTTTGTGTGTCAGGTGTTGGATTGAAGTTTGCTGGATTTGCTCGTTGAAGAACTGCTGGGCTGTCGTGCGTTTGAATTATTGTAGCCTGCTATCTCTATGGGACTCGTGCTGTATGTGCGTGGATCTCGATATTGCTGTAGGATGTCACTGAGATGCTTGATGCTGGTGACACGCCTCGTTCTTTCCAATTGCTGTTTTACATCTGATTGATACACGTTCCGATGGTGCGTTTGCAGATAACTGATAATTAGTACGATAGAAAGTAATAACATTAATGCTATGAACCATTTCGCGTGCTGCCACCCCGCCAAAGGTCTTCACCTGCTTTTAATTCTATTATGCGCTGACCACCTGAACACCCAAGCACCGAGTGCCGCCGAAATCTAATTTTATATATAATAATAAAATTCTCAACTAAATATGTGTATATTCGATACTAAAAAACCGTGCAGCCAATTAGGTTGCCACCAACAGGTTGTATTGCTGATGCTACTGCTGCTTAGAGGACTGCTGTTGAAGAATACTTTGTGGTGCCTAAGCATTTTTGCCCTGTAAATAAATCACTTGTTTCTTTTCTAAAGCATATATGTTCGGCCAATTGCAATTTTGTAATGACGTTTCTGGGATTTTTCTCTCTGAAGTATCTTAGCTGCTTTCTATTCTTTTTCTATCTACTCTGTTGACCAAGATATTCACAGAATCATCATTCAAAGAGCAACCAACCTACCGATGTTATTACGTTTGTCGTTGTGCGAAAGCTGATTTGGGACATTTTGCACAGAGCGAGATACGTTCATCGTCGACACCTTCGGATTTACAGAATGCTTGATCCGGAAAGACCTTTTGAACACGACACGTCTTACCGCTTAGTGTTTTCCTTTGCTTTTCTTTGTTCTCTCCCTTTTTCCGTGCCGGAAATCTTGATTGTTCTAAGCTTTCCATATACTGGCAGACCCTTGCTGTTACTATCTGTCAGTGTGCATTCAACACAATGGTCAATGAAGATAGATATATTGTCGCACCATTCACATATACAAAGTGATGAAAATAAGAAGGCATCCACATAGCTATTCATGTTTATTGTTAGCATATCGCCATTGCGTTGCCAGTATAGCATAGTTCTTGTAGCGCCTGCGGCCAATAATGTCTGTTTGGTTTGCTGCTTTTATAAAGCATCGAAACGCGTAAAGAACTGTCGAACGATACGCGATCAAAACAATTCGTGTCTTGAAATCCCGTGCCATTCTACTTACCTGGGTAAGGTACAAACTACGAGTTAAGGGAAGTTTGCCTGTCCTGTTTATGTACTCGAGCAGTAAATAGTAATATGCCTTGCGTGCATATAAGCCTGTATCGCTGGTCGTTCGAAACTTGTCAACGTTTGGTTATATCGTAAGCGATCTAGCAGTAGTCTAATAATAATCTTCCTTGACTTTTGTTTAAATGCAACATGTCGCGGCAACCGCAACAGCGATAAAGAAGAAACTCTTCCTGGTCAGCGCCGAAACCGCAGCGGCAAAAGAGCGTACTAAAAAGGAGTCGTCACGAGAATTCCCCGAATGCCATCTGCAAGTTAAGGTACTAATAAAAAGCAATATGAATGGAAATAAATATAGCAGCGATAAGATTCATGTCTGTAAGTTACTCGTAGTAATGCTTCGATTAGGTGTTGAAAGAAGGGTTCGAAAACGCGATGACGATCCCTGATCTATGTCTGCCGGCATTAACGATAGCTAGGGGCTTTTCAGATTCGAGAAAATGTTTGTACGTTCCATACGTGCGTAATCGTTTTGTTTCAAAGCAAATTATAGGTACATATATACACACCTTACGTTTTTGCGCTATATACTTTCACCGAAACTTTTCCAAGTTTGCCCTAAACCCTGATTTTCAAGTACGCACAACCCGTTACGGTCGAGAAAAAAAAAGAATGAAAAAAGTAATTTTTGGGAAAAAGTTTTTTCTACAAAACACCTACTATTCCTCTGTCATTCACTAGCTTCACTAACATTATCTTTTCACGCGTCTGAATGGTGGATATTAAGTAAGGGGAGGGGCACCATAACGTTGTCGAAGCAGTTCTAACATCGTGGCACCATCTTTTCTTTGCTGCTGCTGCCGTGGCCATCGGGACGGATGTGCCGATCCTGCATAACTGGTGACGGCGGATGCCCGGGTTTTCCGTTGATTATCTTGTTTTGTTCTGTCGATTATGCGCGTCACGCTAAATCTGTGTGGTCCCTTCTCTCTCTCACCCTAAATCTCTTTTTCTAATCTTCAATTTTTATGCCATTATACTGCACTACATTACCACCGCTACTGACTGCTCCTGGACACTCTACGGAAATCGTCGGGTGCAGGGCTTGGAGACGCGTCGCCTAAGCGCTCCTCTGTTTAACTCTGAGGGTCTTCTTCCCACTGTAAGATTTCTTTTCGGTGCTGTTTGACCCAGTTTTAATTGGCTTTCGTCTGCTTCGCAACCCACGGTGCCTGCTAAACGCATGCCACACGTGCTTACGTCAGTGCTATTCCCAGGGGACCCTTCCGTTGAGTTGCCATTCACGAAAATGTCAATGAATCTTGTTTTATTCGAGAGGTTTTCGACGCTCTCTCCACCTGAGTTAGATTAGTTACTAGTAATACTTGCTAGAAGTGGAACTGGATTATTTTTATCGCTTCGTTTTTCTTCCTTAATAGTGATCAATAATAAATATTATTCACGTTTCGGGCTGCACAATTACTTTTTATGTTTGCAGTACGCAGCGCCGGGAATTGCATGCGTTGCTTTTTAGTTTATTACTGGTTTTCACCTCTATGAACTGTTACTATCAAGCAAACCTTGTTCACTCTGATGCGTGGATTTCTTAAGCCTAATTAGTTTTCTCCACCAATCATTTTTGACTTGTGACCATTTATTTTGATTCGTCAATGAAGCACAGATGCATTTTCGATTTTGTATAATTAATTACAACTTGACAAAAATTGGCAGGACAAGTCCCTCCAGCGAAGAAGTGTGACGGGCTTGGACCAACCGAGTCCTTCGGACTCGACAGCTGATGCCCCACCTGCCACCTTACCTCTTCGACAGCTTGAAGGTCTGACGGCGGTGCCTCTGTTCTTTACCCATGACCCCCGACAGCAACTCGAGATCATTGCCGACCTTACGCACAACCTTTCTATCATCATGGTACGTTCAGCTCAGTTATTTGGAACCAGGTAGCAGCGGTGCGAAATAAGCGCTACATAGTGTCGGTGCATCTGTTAGCTCAGTTTTTTCCTTTTATAGGAGAGCAGCGATGACACGCAGAAAAATCACAATTAGATTTTATCTAGAGACAAAGTTTAGCTTGACGCCATTTCTATGGTAAGGTCCTTCTTCCGTTTATCTAGGTGTTGTCTATATCCTACGTACCGCTATATATATAACACTTACGAAAGTTTGCTCAACATTCCGGTGTCGCCCATCGTATTTCGACATCTTATCTGTTTTTGTTTATTCGGCTTTTTTGACTCCATCCCTCGCGAAGTGCTTATATTGCCAAAGTGCTTCGTCAATGGAAAGTCTGCGGCTGCAAGCGACAGAGATGAGCGAACAGCTGCAGTGTCGGAATCCGCGCAAACAGTCGTACCGGCCAGATGTGCAGTTGGAAGAACTACGTAATTTACAGGAACAGCTGAGTAGTGAGCGGGCCGAATGGCAACGTCAGTGTCAAATCGAGCGACAGCAGCTCGACCGGCAGCGAGAAGAAATCCAGAAACGGGAGGTAAGGACGTCACATTCGTCTAATATCGTCATTGACCTTCTTAGAGTCCTTCGAACCCCCTTCCCCCCGGGGTCTAGAAGCGACCGACGAAAGTCTTTAGCCGATTGCGCATGGTTCGTACTCGGTATGTGTCCAGTGCTAAATGGCTATACTATAGACTTTGAGGAAAGGCCCTATAGCTGCGTAACAAAAAGCAGAAAGTTGTTGGTTATGGGTTGGCTATCTGAAAATCATCGACAAATAAATCGGTCTATTACCTTTGGCTTATCGAGTCAGACATAGAAATATAAAAATCATTTATTCTACATAGTTGCCTACGTGCATATAGTGCTTAAGAATGTTGTTCTTAATGAACACGCTCTTACGTGAATAAGCTTGCATTGGCCAAAAAGTTGATTGCATTTGTTATTCTTTCTATTAACTATGCTACACACTGACAAATAAACCCATCATGTATTATCTATACGTACCAATGTATTGTTCCGATTTCTAGTCTGGTAGATGATCTTAATACAGCAGACGATCATCGATTTTTCCTCCTACTTGCGATTGCTATAGTCACGTACATAGTATTAACCAAACAAGCGAGTACAGTCGAGTTGAATAAATGACCCTAATAACGACAGCAACAATGAGACACGGGTGAACATGACAGGGATAAAGTCGACGCATCTACGTAAGATACATCTACGCAGAAATCTAGCTTCATAAGCCTGCACGATACGGGCCGACCGTCAATACAGTGGTCGTTCAGAATGATCTTGGTGACGATGATGATATTCTGCCAGACACTTTCCGCTACTGTCTTGATGTTTCCTTATCTATTATCTTCACACCATGTTTTTTTGTTGTCTGCTCTGACCAGCAATGGATTTCGGAACAGCAGGCCGAATTGGACAGCCGACTGAGCGCTGCAACAGCTCAGTATCGAGTGACAAACCAAGGCCAGACTGGTGCAGGTCAGGGTGGCCAAGTTGGTCACTTTGTCAACCAGAGCAGTATTCACGTTCAGTCAGCCCCTACTCAAGCTCCTCGCTGTCCGGTTTCAGGGTCAGTCAGTCTCTCTCACTCGCGTTCTGTCTCTCTCCATTTATTCCCACTTCCTACTAGAACCGTTTTCTACCTGCTGCACTAGCCCAAGCCATAACTGTGTTTTATCTATCTACATATATTCAAATGACGCTTCCCCCCTTGAATATCTTTGCCTATGCCCTCAACTTTTTTCGTCTTCGCTAAATCCTGCTCCTGTTCCTTCTCTTTTCGAGTTTCCTTTCTGCCTCTTCCTTTTTCCAAAAGATATCAGGCTGCTTCACGTTGCTGAGTTTCCATCAATCTAGGTAACACCAGCTTTGTTATCATTTGTATAGCCTTCGATGCCCGCATTCGTGTGTAACGTCCCATTACTAGCAACTGTTGTCCATTCAGCCTGATCCTCCAACACGATCCTTCCAAAATCCCTTCGCTATTTTTCTTCGATTCCTTCTCATATTCTCTTCCAAGCGACTAATTCTCAATGCTTGACCCTTTAGAAGGAAACGCATGATTTCAAAAATGTTAGTTTATCCAACCCTCGATATCAGTAATGACATGCGATGCCTGCGAAATTTCTACTACTGTAAATACTTTCGGCGTTATACTTCCTACGCCTTTTGCGAGGTGCACAATCTTCAAACTAACGGGTGGTAATTTTTTCTAGCGAGCTGCTACACGATAGTCTACGATTGAAAATCAACGTAACTACTTGTGATTTCATTAAGAGTCGGGTGTGAAGAATGTTGTTTTCCGTTATAATCCTCTTGTCCTAAGTGCCCTAATGGTACAGAACGTGGCATTGAAACAAACATCTTTTCAAGCGTAGATTTTTCAAAATACGCAACCTTCAAAGATGTGTTCATTTCGTCTAATATAGTACTTTAAGGTTTATTTATTTAGATTTTCATAGTCCTGTTTAACGAAGAGCAAAATAAATGCTTTATAGTGAAAAAAGCTAGATACAGTGCCGTAGCTTGTAGTGATATGTCTGCGGAGTAGAACGTTTCAGTGAGGCATAGAACTTGCAGAGATGCCGTCGTCTGCCAAAAATGATTGATTAAATACGAAAAGTGCTATCATATATTTGTATTGTTGTTAATGGTAAGCCATCGCTTCTGTCGGCCTCGTGGGAGGCGTTACTATATCGTTATTGAAAATGCAATGTTTGGCCTAAATTTGACTGTCACGTAAAAACTACTGTAGCATGGATGTCAGCAATGAGCATTTTTGATCATCCAAGAGTCAGGATATTCTGCTAATTCAAATGCCTGTTACCTCAACCGCTACCGTCGAGACCACAGCCAGTCTCACTGCCTATGCCTCCGAACCCGACCTAGTTTAGCCGAAATGAATAAATGATAAGACACAAATGATATTGAAAAGATTGCGTGGGGACATTGATTGTTTCAGTGTCGCGGCTTAAATGGCGTTCAGAATCGCATGGACAAGTTTGTACATGTATGTAGAATCATGAGCGGTTCTATTCTACACCATGTTTTTCTTAATTGTATTTTTTTAATACTCTTTTATTTATTATATCAATATATTTACATATTGTCATCGTATTTTTTTTTGAGTGCGTATGATTTTGTTCGTGTATGACGCATCTGACCATCTGGTCATCGTCCTTTTTTCCAGGAACAAATAAAACGTGATCAAGAAGATATTGAGCAGCAGCGAGACTGGCTTTTTAGGAGGCTGGAAAAGTTGGAGAAAGAAAGGGAACGAGAACAGTTTCAACAACAACAACAACAGCAACATCAGAGCCAACTGCCGATACAGCCGATGCATTTGGTCTTTCAACAGGGGGTGCCGCAACAGCCCGCAACGGCAGTCCTCCAGCAACAAGCTGCTGCGGTGGGCTCCCATCTGCCACAGCAGCAGCAGCAGCAACAACAGACTACACATCCCTCGTCCCCTTCGAGTGCTGAGAACTCTCCAAGGTGATTATATATTGTTGCACATCCAGATAAATAGCTACACAGTATTACTTTTATTAATAGTTATTACATAATGGCTGATTCAGAGGGGGGCAGTGGTCTATGAAAGATCATGGCCTCAAACCAGTGCGGAGGCGGGTGTGCAGTCATTCTGAAGAGTAGGGAATAGGCATTAAGATTTGAATTTTTTTTTTTGATTTTTGAAAATCTTAACGCCTAGGAGGCTTAAGAGTTCAGGGAGTGTAAAATAGAGATTAGAGATGAACACTTAATGAAGGCGCGTACGCCTACACAGACGGAACGCACGAATGACTACTATAGGAGTGGATTGAATGGCTGTAGATGGCTACTGTATAAGTGTAGCGTTAGCGGCTACAGCTGAGGCTGTGGGCTGATCATAAGTAGTAGGACTATGTTTGTGCCTTTTACGATTATGCTACTAAGGCAAGTCTTACGATATTGCACAATTATGCTAAGACGTCTAGCAATGCAGCGATGCCAGATCAGCTCGCTTTACTTAATGATCTCTTAAAGTGTAACTTCACTTTTATATATATATTATATACACTTAATAGTTAAGTGTTCGTATGATTCGTGTTTACAAACTGCGGGAGTGTCTACGGAAGCTTTTGAATCAATCTGATTTTTTCGAAACCTATCATTTAGTGCAATTTTCAAACAAAAAAATGTATTTTTACCTCTGTCAGGTCTTTGGTACATAGACAACATAGGAATATTTTTATTTCTAAAATTGAACAGTAATGGTAAAAGGAGAATAAATTAAGCCACGACTTCCCAGTATAGACGAGTACGTGTTTCGCCTTGTCAAGCAAAAAGAATACATTGCATATACACACATACATATATGAAAAAACCAAGAAAATCAAACAGCTCTACCGTCTGTAACTTGTATGCTTGCAAATTGCAATTGTCGGCTCATTTTCGTTTCTTTTGTACTGCCACTGTTCTACTTTCCGATTTCCCAAAACATATGCTTTCTCTCCTAGGAACTCTCTACCAGGACGCACGGTCTCCTCCGCGGACTTGATGGCGCCCGCGATGCTGTCGATCATGCCCTTCGATATGCGTTCGCATTCAACGTCTTTAATTCCTTTCCACCTGAGCAGCCTCGGAGGACCCTCTGGGTCGACCGCGACGCCCGCAGCTACCATTCTTGCCGCATCGGGAACGGCGTCAGTTAGCGGAATTAAACCTCATCGCGGATCGCCCCCCGCTCCGACCAAAAATGCAAAAGACGCCCACCATAAGGAGAGCCATCACTCCTCCAATTCACTGCCGGCAGCTCTCACTGGGCTTTCATCCTTTATAACGGGACACCACCATTCAAAGCATCACCAACAACATCATCCACAGCAGCAACAGCAACAACAACAACAACAACAACAACAGCAGCAGCAACAACAACAGCAGCAGCAACAGCAACAGCAGCCACTGCAGAATTCGCCGCCCCCGAAACAGGTTCGCTAGCGGATCTACACTCACGCGAGTAAAGCTGATAAGGAAAGAAGTATCACCGTAACAACTCCTCATAAATATACACACATAATTGGGTAATACATGTACATAGCAGGCCTTAAAACGTTGTATTCTGAACAAGCTGATCTTCAAATGACTGGCGTTCCTGCCTTGCCGTTTATTCGATCATTTGACTTGGTATCGATGGATATGTGAAAGAGTGTCTTTCTCTAACGCAATTTATGTAAATTTTTCCTGTTTTTTTCTTGAATGTAACTACTGTGGTTGTCACCGCATCTATTCACAGGTACTTCCGTTACATTTAGCGAAGCGTGGTTCTCCGCAACGATCCCATAGCGCGTCTTCCCAGGCCGCGCCGTCACCCGTTCACGTGCGAGCAGGCTCCAGCCCGGCCAAGGTGCATTACACTCCACCTCCATTAACACCTCCGCTGGTCGGAGGTCCGCAACAAGAGCAGTCACAGCCTCCACAGCACCATAAGCAGTCTTCATTCGGAGTAGCCTGCAGCCCCAGCACATCGAGCACAACTTCTTCGTGCAGCAACTCGGCTGTGGCGGGAATGCCGGTTGAGGCCCACAGTGGCGCCGCTCCCTCTGTTGGTTCCGCAATGGATCCTCTTGGTATCAGCCCTTTGCTGATTCGAGCTAACACCATTGATGACTCGACCGCGCTTCACAGCATGCAACGGGCTCCGTTCGATGACGAAAAAGAGATCTTCTGCTAAATGCCACCTGACGAAAATAAGAGAGACGCAAAAAATACTGCTACTGTTGCCATCACTAGAGGTCGCGCCGTTGTTGGAAGGAAAAGAATGATTGTTCGTCTGCGAATGACAGCAAATGCTATGAACGCCGACATCAGGCACAGCAGTAACGACGGCGCGTGATCGACGATTAGCGCCAGCCAACAGGCTCTTATCCCAATCAATATCAGTGGAATTCTGGCAGCTAGGTACATCAAAAGTAGCACGATGTTGAAAATGATATAAGAGAAAAGTAGATCTGAACAGAAAAGAGCAGCTCCACGGCGAGTCTTTACGGCCGGTAGACTCATTAAGTTAGAGGCATGTGTGGGCACGTATCAGTTTGGGTTTCTTGTCATCTGGGAGCCTACAGGTCCAGTGAAGTCGATCGGACGAACAAAGCTCGAAGAGAAATATTATATGAATATAAAGCATGCGCATAGATATAGGTTTGAGCACAAAGCTATAGAAGAAAATGAAGATAAAAATTATAAATACACATGAATGTATAACGAACGAGGAATAAGCAAAGAATTGAGATAGGAAAGACGATAAAGGAGAGCCTCGGCAGAGCTTAGCGTGTACCGTACCCTGTATAGTTCACTGTGATATAGCAAAACAAGAACACTCCATACTCTCTACGAAGATATATATAAATTTACAAAATATATACATAATGCGACAACATAGGTTAACGTCTCACCATGTTGAAGAGAAGAGCGAAGACAACTCAGCGTCTCTATATATTTACATATGCTTGTCCGCTTATGATAATCCACTTCTATTTTGAGTAATAGTAAATGAATCGACACAAGAAAACGAAAGGTCGTAACAGATTTTACATGTACAATCATTATTGACACATGGGAGCATCGATTATTGAGGGCTAATGCTATAAATATACATATATAGAACATATAATGATTTCTTTCAGTCGTTGTAGCACTGAAAGCATAATATACCTACAACGGGCGAATCGTCATACTGTTAGTTAATAATTGTTATTCAGCCATCCTTAACCCAATGTGATGTACACACTAAAAGTTCAGATTAAAAGCTCAGAATCAGTAAATCAGAATACGACTCGTGGAACCAGATCATCGTAACCAATTTTTGGAGTTTTTCTGTGTTTGTCGAAGGAAACGGCGATCACCGCTCCTCCATGTGTCAAAGGTGATTCAGCGTATGCTTTGGTAGCTTTGAACTTTCTTGGTATGAATAAGTATCCGTGTACGTCATTCGATGGCTACAAGTCGATCATTAGATTGTACTTACATCAGGTATTTTCCTGCTTACTAGGACCGCGTGAGACCGTCTATGTGTGTGTCTGTGTGTGTATATGTAATAAACGAAAATATCGACGCGAGCCTGTCTGTCCGCGTGTCCAGCTTTGATCTCTGCATACTGTTCCCTGTAGTATGTAACAATGGCAAAGATCTGTTGAAATTTTCGGCGGTTGTGCGTCGCGGTGTTTCTTGCGTAAGATGTTTACGCCACGCTCATCCACTGCAAGCAGTGACCATTCCGGAAGATGCATTGACTTCTGGAACTCTCTTCCATGGAAGGCTGCACCTGCTAAAAAAAGGTTAATGACGCTTTGGCGTGATGTCGGAAGCGAGAAAGGCGACTGGGTTTTTAGTTGGATTTCACTTTTGCTCCAAACGCTTCGCGCTGCGGCGGCTTCTCCTGAAATTCAATACTGACAGGGCAAACTACTTATTCGGCTCGACTAGCGTAACTGTAAACGGCAGTCACATGCAGTAAGCAACTTCCGTGTGTCGAGGCTCAGACGGGCTCACTATGTGTACAGCTTGGCCGTTGGAAAGGACGAATCGAAGGTTTGGAGTCGGCATTACTCACGGACCTTTTCGCTGTCGCCTTGTTTTTCGATAATCGTTATGTTATCATGAAAAATATACCATCATGGTATATATATACATAATACATTAATAGGTACGCCTATAGCACGCCAGAAGGTCCATGCAAGGCGACAAAAACTATAGATATGTAACGTTACTTTAGTGAAATACATTTAGCGTTTCATTGACATTGAGCGTTGGTCCATAAACTAGTTGTATATCAGATATCATCCGCCTTGGAAGTACTGAATGAGACTGTTCCCGTCGAAGGCCACTGTGGTCATATTAATTGAATGTCAGAAGACCGTCGAGACTGATCTAATGAAATAATCTCTAAAATAAAGCAAGGTTATATTGTAACATATATTTAGGGACCTGTTGTTATATTGGGACGATCGCGAAGCGCTTGCAAGCCAGAATACTAAACTCCGAATACTGGACGGAGGTTTTAGTACGAAAAGGAAACATTGTGATTTTACAGGACGAACGAATGGTGACGCTCAATTGCGAAGCCATAGCTACTGGCCGCTTTCGTTCAAGTCGAGAATCGTCCTCCGAAGCCGCGTCGTCCCGTAAGACTCCTTTCAGTGCAGTGTACCACAGATTGCGTGTAGATAAACAACTAGAGCCACAATTGTTACCGCTAACAGGACACACCCCACACAAATATGTATAGACACACGCGTTTGCAAGAACATATACTAGATTCCAGCAGCAAAACGGCAGATTCAGCACTACTGTGGCCGACTTGGTCATCAATGAAAAGTTACTGATCACACGGTACATCTGTACACAGGCAGACATTTGTCCCTGGTCCGACACAGACATGTCCTGAACACGGGACACCTGTAGATCAGAACGGAGCGACAAAAACGATACATTCCCTTATGCATGCTTGATGGCGATCATCTGTGTTGAAAACACAAAAGGCAGTTCTGTATGTCTGTAAAGCAGCCTATTAACGAAGGATGAAATGAGGCGGGTCAAAATAATACGTCATATAAGGTTTACAGTGTACTACCACAGTAACTGCTATACTAGTTAATATACGCTTAATATTAAAACTAATAATAGTTGCACGATCATCAGTACCGTTACTGTTGTACAATAACTAGATTACAAAAGAGTTCGTTTGCAGTTTCCGAGTTATTGTTTTTCACCTCTTAATCCCGTGGTGATCGGGTCTGAAAATGTGTCGGGATCAGAAATCAAACGAGAAAAGAACAAACACAAATGTGTTCAGCTGCCACGTGCAAAAAAATGTGCTGGGATAGTAGATATTAGAGCCCAGCGAGCGAGTCGGCACTGGCATTGCTTGTTATTAATATCGCCAATTACTACTCTATCGTTACCTTGTCATTATGATTCCAACGTTAAAAACTATGGCTAGTATAATTGCGCTTTACTATAATGCTAACTGACGATGCAGACTAACCAACAAGGCACCTGACTAAGTGAACAAATGGTGGAAAAAACAGGACGTCGAGAGTGAGGACGATGAGACAGAGAGAGGACTTCAGAAGAGTCAAGAAAACTATTCTACTAATAATACGAATATTAATAATCAAATAATAATAGCTATTATATTACTACTATAATTGCTGCAAGTATTGCGACCAGCCATATGAGACAACTGTCACAAGAGGGGAGAAAGAGAGGCAAACAATGGAACGGTACGGTGGAGAGAGAGAGAGAGAGAGAGAGAGAGAGAGAGAGAGAGACGGAGAGAGAGGGAGAGAGGGAGGGAGGGAGGGAGGGAGGGAGGGAGGGAGGCAGAGATATCGAAGCGAACAAACGCATGATGGCGGTAGTAAAACACGATGCGGAGCCTTTGTGGCACCTGGTGATATAATGCTGGCTATTACTCACGAGAAGATGTTGATTAGGGCGACAGTTTCGATTCGCATTTTCTTAGCAGTGAAATGGCGATCGAAGAAAAGAATTCATAAAGCAGAAAATGATGGCTAACTGATAATTTACATATAAAGATTTTGATTAAAACTGGTGCATCTCGCTTGAGAAGGCAGTCGGAAAGCTGATGGTAGGCGATGAGAAGAGCGGGAAAAAATCAGTTTAACAATAATCAGTGCTTCAACGAACTCCAATTCTGTGATTTTCATCGAACTCAGTTCATTGTTTATTGTCAGCCACTAATTTATACTGAGCTATATTGGAGTGCGCCTCTATTGTGAACCTTTAAATTCGTTAATGACTAAACGAATGAACTGTCATAGGGTACGAGAAGTCAAAGTTAAAAAAAACAATGCGTAGGCAGCGTTCAACGAGTCGCCAAATTCTCCGCACCATTTTTCTCTTGTTTATAAAATTTAAACTTGTGTATCCTTTAAATAGTTCGAGACCTTTAGTGTTCTCTTCACGCCGGCTGCAGTGTAAAGGCCCCCTCCTTAGCGATTCTAAGCTAGTAACAAAAATATTTAACACGACAGACAGACAAACTACAAAAACAAACAGGAAGTCTGTCACCAACAAAACAAAAAATACTGTTACTATATATCACGTTAAAAGAAAAACAGTGGCTATACCTACATAGTATGCGCATACCCTTAGAAATTGTCGTTGGCAAAACTCACGATTGCATATATATATTATTTCACCTGATTAGAACTACTGCTGCGATCTTAGTTGTTGCTCAGCGATTCTAATGATAACCGACTGTGACAGATGCCGTTTTTAGAACCGAACTTCTCTCTCATTCGTCGAAACTGGACTTTTGATATGGTTGGGCTAAATGGGAAAGAGTGCTGCAGCTAGCGCTAAGGGACTCTTAATGGTGAAAAACACGATTTATGTCCACTGACTGTTTTGATATGTCTAATATATAGCATATCTCTCTTTTCAAAGAGGAACACGCCCTAAGAAAATATGATTTATAGTGGAAGTGAAAAAAATTGCGGAGATCATGCAAGTTGGAACTGAAGACGATACATACTTAATGATGTACACGCTACTATCACAGTAAATATACACTATTGCTACTACCACGACAGCGCATTCTACTCCTTCGGCACAACTTTAAGCAAATAGCCGACTACAGTGGTCGTCATTGTTGGCCTTTGGCTCTTAAGAAGTGAGTACAGAAGCTAAGTTTTCAAAACATATTGAAATGTTAAACTGATCTCTGTTACGTTGTTGGAATTCCACGGTTTCATGCCAGTTCAGTTCGAGCTAGATTTATGTAATTAACTGCATGTTAACCTGTACAAGTCTACTCCCAACAATTATCTCCATTAATCTACCCGCTAGAAGATAAAAGAAAAAAAATTTGTGACGTAACTTGCTTGGCAGTTCACATTAATAGGGTGTTGGACTAACACGATTTCAAAACGACAACAACAACAAAGTTTATCCATAAAATATCATTAAAAAATAGAAATGAATTAAACATGGAGACAATAGCTAGCACATAGACGTCGTATACATGAGAGGAGTTTCGGATACAAATGAAGTATCTTGTCAGATAAGATACTTTACTTGTTATAATATTAATCCTAGTACTAGGAGGTAGTACGTCACTCCAGATAATACAAAACGAAGCAAATCCAATCGTGGCACTGCAACAAACAACGCGAAGGTGGATCGAACAGAAAAAGCTTAAAATACGTACATACAAACTGGTTCGTAGGAACGGCATGTAACAGCTAGACTTACATAAGCAATACTGAACAGTTTCGCTTACATGTACGCACCGATGGGCAGGCACAAATTGTACGGAAAGTCAGATTCGCGACCCGGCCATCTGAGCAGTTGCTCACATGTTATTAGAACGCGTTTTCATTTTTAATAGCACGGAATAATACCGAATATAGTAACGCTAAATGGTAATAATAAAACTGATAGTAATACTTGCGACTGTTGAGACGCCACTAACAGTGAATTGTTGTCATGCTGGTAGTGGCAGTATAAGTAAAAATAATTCGAATTATTATATTCATATAATTACTAGTATTGTTGTTACTAAGCGAGCTACTATTATCACACGCGACGTTATCGTCGTTCAATATTCCTTATGCATTATGTTACAAAGCGTAATCATTGGCCAGACAGCGCAAAAGTGGAAAAGGCCGTCTTTGTATGGTGTTGAAGAATTAGTGCATTACTAAAATTTGCTAAACTTGGAGTATCTTCAGAATATAACAAAATGATAGAAAAGTTGAAGAGGAAACAACAGTATATAGCATCTAGATCCAGATCAATCTCTTTCTGAAGCAGCTGTATCTGCTTTTGCATAATATAGAACATAATAATAAAAATACATAACTGACAATTTATGAATAACGGCGAACAAATCGCCGATTCACCAAACAAATTGGGCAATTATAATCAGTTGTAGAGGAAAGAGCATGACAAAAGGTCACTAGTTAATTTAGTTTGAAAAAGATAAAAAAGAAGTGGTAGAAGACAGAGGAAATACGACGCATAGCGGAAGGAAGCCGTATACAGAAAACCTGAGCCTCTCCCGCTGTACATATCCCTAATAATAACAATAATAATAAATATAATGAATGCAAATGATAACATTGATTTTGACGACAGTAAAATCGTAGCAACTGCTGGTGATGAACATATAGATAATGAAAGTGGGTAAAAAGCGTGAGGGCTGACCGTTTTTGCGCTCGTTAGCTTATGTCATAGTGTACAGGAACACTGCGTATAAAGCTCTGATAATGACAAGAAAAAATATTGCTATTATAGTTATTATTGTTATTCGAATGCTTAGTACTATCGACATTATGCTATAAGCGTCCATAAGTAATGCAGCAGCACGTATGATGAGTTGAAAAACCATAGACTGAAGTAAGGAATAAATAAAAGACGCAGGGCAGCACACAAACAAATGAAAGAAACATACAAACAAATATGATCATAAGAAACGAGCAACATGAAGCTGCGCCGATAACAGTAGTGCAGCACTAATAATATATTTATTGTCATAGCTACAATTAATAATACACAATAAATAAAAACACCCAAATAATAATAATGACAATAATTATAGTGTTCTACATGTGTTTTTCTTCAATGAACAACAAACTACCGTAAATAAGGAAGACAGCAACAGCAGATGACGAGAAAATGAAGAAGCATCGAGCCAATAAAAGGAACAGTAATAAATACTATCAGATATCGATTTCTGTCGCTATTGTGTGTACTCTTTTATCGGTTGACAGCGGTAAATGTAACAATGCTCGCGGCGAAGTACTAACCACATATAGCAATTTTCTGCTTGATAGAGTATATTGTGCTCTGTTCAGCTTGCGCATCTCATGTACTTCATATATTTCAACTTTTCGCTACGTGTATGACAGATATGAACTTCTTTCCACGTTGTGATCGACAAACATACTGAAATTATTACATTAGATCGGTACAGTTTATGTGCAAAAGTTAATTTGCTATGCACAAATCCGCTCTGTGCCGCCGGCAGTTTTAACTGGAGCAAGATACAGGTGAGGCAACTCGTTAAAAATAAACACTATTTTAATAAGAAATTTTTACTAATGTTAGCATTACCGGCAGTCAGTCAACATTCTACTTTCCCAAATAAGTTAGATCTTTTTTCGGAGACGTTAGTTGAATATCACATTTTCCTCCTTGAGATTAGCATCACTAGGACTCTCACTCGCGTTCGAAATAATGCGCAGCTTATCACTTTGCTTGTCTGCAAGAATACTGTTCCCTTTTGACTAATAATCTTGTCAAGAGACTCGAACCGAGAATCCCTGTCGGTGTTATATTCAATGTAAATCTCTATTTTTAATAAGCTGTTGTTCGCGTTACGAGATCATGAATTTGCCAATATTATAATTAATAGAATTAAAACACATCCGTGTCAGCCGAGTGATTCTGGCACAGCAAAACTAAGCTGAGAATTATAGTTTGGTCATACGTGTAAACTGCCAAAACAGGTCATCCATCAGAACGGAATGCCACAATGAGAAATGCGTTGTACCCTACACTTAGATTGCTATGGTACTAGGACTTGCCATAGAGAATTACTGCTTGCGTTTATCTACTGTAACCGAACTGAAAATGAAATGATGTTAAAGCAGAAATAGAAACAACGCTAACTGGTGATTTCGACGCTAATTACGAGCGATATAAGATACGAGTCTCGAAGTTTTCGCCGAATGTACGGTTCGGCTAAAAGAAGACATTTTCCTGGCAGCGGATCTCCTTCTAGTGTCGACGACGGAAGATGTACAATATATTTTTCACCTGAAACCAATCCTGTATAAACGTTTGAGGTTCACAGACAACCTTCAAGAACAGCTTCAAGGACTGAATATGAAATTGAATACTGCTTCGACAAAGCAATGTCTGTAATAAATCTTCTCGATGTCTGAAACTAATTCAGACTTTCTGCACGTTTAAAACAACATATCATGTATCGATTCAAAAAGTATGTTGACGCAAATACCATCTTCACTACGGGCGTCCACATAGGTGTTTCCACAGGAACGGATAACTTCGGTGATCTTTAGACGTAAACTTCGGGAATTTTTATCCCTAAAGGTTTTGGCAGCGTAAATGTTGGATGTTGTGAGCGAATTATGCATTGATCGAGTCGACTGTAAGCGCGCCACAGCTTCGGTAAACTGTCGTGGAAGGTCGGCGAATGGCTTGAAAATGTCCACAGATGCTCGGCTCGACTGTCTTCGCACAACTGGGTAAGCCTCAGGTGCATACGGAAGAGCTGCACCTATTAGTTTCAACATATCTCAGTTAAAGTCTCATTAGTAAATCTTCCAATGCATTTAATTGGAGCAATTCTTATGAGCAAAGCACGTAAATTCCTGTATAAATGGAGAAGAAATATTTTTTATTACAGATTGAAACGTATTATATTTAACGAGTACTAACAATAGAGGCTTACATTGCTTACAAAGTTAGAAATGATCACACAGTAGATCACACGTATACATAAACTTTTTAAATGTATAACTCTTCTGTAGGCTACTCACCAGTATGATCAAAATTTGCCTATTTGTAGTGCGAATTCTAATGGATTAGTGCAGGCTTTTTCTTGCTAGAATCGAAGATCCACCACATCAGTAGGAAACTTGATGGTCAACAGTTCCTAATGCTTTCCTTCCAGTATAAGGAAGTTCTTTTGTATATATACTCTCGGCACTGAATATATAGCTACAAAAAAAAAAAAATATATATATATATATATACCCAGCGAATGTTTCTTGGAAGCAGCGCAGGAGCTGTTCTCCAGCCACTGGATCTTCTGTTTGGGCCGCTGGAATGAGTCGAGTGATGATTGCACATGTGTAGCTGGTAAAGCTTGAGTGTGAATCTCCTCAATGTCATCTACTGGCGGATCGATTAAACCTTCGGTGTTCGCGGTCTACAAAAAATAAAAGTGTGGCAACTAATAACGTCAAGCATCCTGACTTCAATGTCTAATCAAATAACCATATACGATATATGTTTTCGATACTTTTGTGTACTATCATCAAGCTGTCAAACGGTTAGATTATATCATAACTAAAAAAAGGTGTAGCAGTATAGTTTCACTTCCACTGCTACCTGACTTCTGAATGAAATTCCGAAAAAAAAAAATAACCATCATCGCTTACGTACGCCAACTTCTCTTTGTTCTAATGCCTCTAGTGTTCTGAAGGTTAATATTTGGGTGTACTGCTTTTCAACAAATGCCTTAATTACTCTATTGCTAGGTTCGTATTTAACTAATACATGCAATAAATACTAGTTCGGGTACTGGAACGGTACACAGCTGATCTGGTTATTGAAAATAACTGTTCTAGCATTCAGCATCGTTATTGTGATTTGCGTTTGATCTCTACAGTCTTGAAGGATGTAGATTGAGATTTCATTGGCAGCACAAACCTCGCTTTCTTCAATATCAAGCTGGCTTTGAAGTTGATCTTCAGATTCGATTTCTTCGATATTCGTGCTCATAATAACGACTAATACTGAAACACTATACACGCTTAATTGAATCCAATCGGCACCGGCTTTTTTCTTGCAGTTCACGCCTCTACATCGTGTTAACAGTGGACACTTGCTACATAACCTGACACATTTTTTGCGCACGTTTACTCTGTTTAAATATACGCAGCTCCGCAGCCATCCAGAGTACGGCTATATATAAATGTATTCTAATAATACCGAACCATTATGGCGGGATCTATCCATAGAATACAACTATCCGCCCATCAACAGGCTGAACACATTTGAAATATGTATAAGCAACACATTCAGGTAACTTGTTTCCAACATTGGCATGCGTTCTTCTTCACGTCACTTGCGCGATTATAACTTGTGTTCCTTTGTTCAGCGAAGCACTGTGTGAGTTCTATGCACAACGTACGTGCTTAAAAAGGACCTGGCCGACTGCTCACAAAGCCATCAAGATAAAAAAAAATACACACCGTAGTTATTAACAGTTCTCCCATTCATCCGTTCGACGATGAGCCGTATAACATGGCTACATCAACAGAATTTATTCAATCACTTTCTTTTTAAGTTTCCGTTTATTTATCGTTTTGCACGTTCATCTCTTAGTGAGGCCGCTCCGGATGTCGTTAGAGAATTTCATCGGCCATCATACTCTGTGTTGTCGTTCTATTCGCGCGCCAAAAATTTAGATTACCCGCCGTTTCCTCTCTTTCGCACCACGACACAGTCCCCATAACTGCACAGCTCTGGCTAGAGCGGTCGGATTTTTCACATGTTTTGTAAATAAACAGATTCGTGCTAGCGCCAAGCAGACGTTTTTTGTCTGTTGTCCTGCAGCTTGCTGGTCAACTCTCTCTTTTGCCGCAGAGGTGAGCGTGGCCACTGGTTGGTTGGTTGAGTGGCTGGCTGGCAGGCAGGCAGGCAGGCTCGCTCGCTCGCTCACTCACTGCTCGGCGGTAGTGTCTTGTTGTTTGGCGATTTACGCTGCCTGCTGTACGTGTTGTGAATCTAGTTCGTGGCTGGCGTGTGCGGATGTTGTGTAGGTGGAATTCGATCGCGGTTGTCGAGTTCGTTTGGACATCGGCTAGTCGTTGCTTGCAGCTGTATTGCGGCGATGTCGGTGGGCCTATCAGTTCAGTCGTTGACGCAGGAGCTTGAACAGACCAGGGAGCGACTGCGAGTCGTCGACGACGACATCAAGAAGCATTCGGGCCGAAGAAACGTGCCAGCGAGGTAAGTGCCGCCGGCAGCGTAGGGGAGACATCGAAGGCAACGGCGCGCAAGCCTTACCTGTTCAATTGCCTGCAGATGATAGCCTTTGCTATAAAACAATAGGAATATACGCAGGCGTTAAGTAGGACTACGGGCCTACGCCATACGTAGGGAAAAACGGTGTGATGTGAAACGATTTATTGAAAAAAGCTTACTGCTATTGTTGTTGTTGTTGAAAGTGATTTGCTGGTAACGCATAGTGCAGTTGCTTGAAAGGCTTCGGGAATTGGTGGTGGTGGTCCGGGCGCTGGTGGGAACGTGTGGAGGACGCTGGATCCGGTCTAGTAATGACGCACAGCAAACAATTTTGAATTTCTCAACAGGACGCATTACCGTTTAACATTTTGAATGAAGACTTTTATTATAGTTCTCTGCATTGTGACGCCTTGAAGGACTATGACCGGCACACTAAATGTACCCGAATGCACGTTCCTCTAATCGTCAGGGTGGAAAAGAAATAGTGTATACGAGGGATAGTCATATTATCATAATTTATTACTGTTTACTGTTTCAGTGACGTATATGGCTATTTCAAAGCATACTTAACTTCACATAGGTATATATGCGCAGATGTATAGGTAATGTTACAACTATTCACGACTACAGCGCGTACGTTATTATAGTACAGGCTTGTAACCTACATTTTGGGTGTTTGTTTCCATAGAAACGTAATGATTGGAGACATATTTGAAGTCATCTATCACCGAAAAAGATGTAATTATATTGCCTATATAGAAAACGGTGACTAAAAATATTAAAATGAGGCTCTCAACGTTGAACTGTATTCATGGCGAAGGCATGTTAATACTGTCAAACAAGTCGTAGTTTCGTGTCTGCATTAGCTTCTATTGATAACAATGACGATTGGAAGTTGATCAGATGAATTAAGACACTTGTCTCATTTTGTAGTAGTTTAATATAAATCACATTTTGTTCAAGGCAAGAAATGCGGATATGTTAGATTGAGAATTACACGAAAAACTTCGAAAAACGCGAGACTAGTCATGAATGACAATGATATAACATATTGAAAGCATTTTTGGTTTCTCATATAAACATTGTACGTTGTTCGTGATAAATAGCTCTTGATTGTTGCACTCTGACAGCAATTTCAGACATCTGAGAGATGCGCCGCCAGGACTCCGGAGCCAGTTGGCCAATCGTCTTGACGAGTATGCATTCAATACATTTAATATATTATATAATATTATACATTTAGATACGTTTGTGTACACATATCTATGTTTCCTACCTAAATGTTTAACCCATTAATATAATTAAGCTGTGGTAAATTAAAGAAGCTACATAATTACAGTCATTAATGATTTTTGTTCATCTATAAGCACTATCAATCAAAGAGGTTCCGCAGGACGTTATCAGCAGTCGTCCGCAGCCAATAGGAATTTCATACACGTGAGTCTTTTATATGAGCGGAAGTGCACACCAAATCATCTAATATAAATTGTCTATCTACCTTTCTTCTAGTGGACCGCTTCGTCGTCGACAGCAAGGAGGTGCTTTCAGCCGTTTGGGGCGGCAACTTAATGTACACGAAGCCCAGCGTATGGGTCAGCCAAGCCCACAAGGCCCAAGTGGTTCCCATCAAGGAACGATGTCAACGAAGGATCAGGGTCGTCTTGGCTCGGGAGGTTCCCATGGGACCGGGTCGGCTGTTGGGTCAGGTCTTCGAGTGGGAGTGAAACGTGACCGCAGTGAGCGAGTCGAGCGAGAACCCCCCGAAGAAGGTGAGTTAGATGAACCTCCAAGAAAGGTTGGTCTTCTTTCGTCCATTGGCGCCTCCTCAATGACTGTCAAGGGAAAGAGTCGGAGTGAGCTGCTGAACGAGCAAAGCGGCGATCAGAATATCAAAGCACGAAACAGACGAATGTTCGGCATGATCCTGGGAACATTAAAGAGCTTTGAAAAAGAAGAGAGCACAAAACGTAAGGAGCAGGTTGACAAAAAGGTCGAAAAGGAACAAAAAGTCGAAGAACAGAAAGAACGTGAGAGGGAAGAAGCCGTCCGCATGCGGCGGGAGCTTATCGAAGAGAAACGCGATAAACAGATCAAACTACGACAGCTGCAAGCCAAGATAGAAGTAATCGGAGCGGTAAGTATCGCGATAAAACGGTGTTAAATTTCTAAATAGGCAAAATGATAATCAGTTTTTTGTTACTGCAAAAAAAAGACTTATATTGACGTTAAATTATATAATTTGGTGCTTCTCAGTAATACAATTAATTACGTGGGTGTAGATTGGCAATGGCTGTAGCGAGAGCACTCTTCGTTTAATAATTGCGATTTTTATTTTTGTCATTACACGCGTGTTAATACTATTTTGCTTAACCCGTGCCGTGTTGCTACGCTATTATAAAGCAATTTTGACTATGTTAGTCTGTCCATCGGACATGCGCTGCATTTTTTTTGTAGATTTCTTATTTGGCTGAAATTGACTAAATGAAATTCTTTCGGTAGCAACCCTACGTTTTTGCTTTGCTTCGATCACGGCTTAAAGTGATTGTACATCACATGAAAGTTTACCGTAGTAGTCTAACTAACGAATTTTACCATCTCTTTTCCTTGTCTTTAAAGCACAGTACATGCATGTACCTTTCTAATCCATTGACTTGTATTGTTGTTCACTAACTGTACCTGTCGTCAATTTCAGTTTGAAGAATTCTCGAAACGTCACGGATATATGGCAAACTTCATCCATACAATTGCAAAACCTCCTCTTATGTGGCTGCCTCGAACTCATACGCCAGCTAGCGAGGAAGGCCTTGCACGCAGCCGTGCCAAAATTGAAGCGATCGTGGCCAAGGAACAACAGCGTATAGAGCTTGAACTAGAACGAATCGAAGGCATCCAGAGGGATTCCGAAGGCGAGATTGATGGCAAGGAAAACAATAGCGGATCGACGATGCCATCTAGCGTCGCTGTGGTTGTTAGTAATGGTGAGTATATCGCTCGATCTTGCGTGTCAAATAAAGGCCAGATTTATAAATAAAGTAAAATACAGATAATGCATTACACTGGCTAGCATAGGAAAACTTACTTATTGATTTTACGTTTGCAACTCGCTACTACTATTTTTCGTTGTTAATGAATAAAAGAAAACATGTGCTCGAGTATTTATATTGTACTATTGATTTTAGTTTTTACGCGAACTATCTTCATGTCGCTAAAAGTTTTTTGTTGGGTTTGTGCTATTGAGATTCATTTTCTGAAGATCGATTTGGTGACACAGGCGGCTTGTTAAATGGTAGCTTCAATTTTGTAATTGTCTAATATCTAATTATGTAACTGCTTAGGTTTGAAGCTATGACAAAATTCCTTTTCAAGGTAATAAAGAAACAGTCGCCAGACAACAGACTGTCTTTAGATCCTTGCGACGGTTAATCTCATTGAAATCGATACACGTTGGAGACTTCATATTACAGATTTGACATGTTCAGTTACCGATGCTTGACAAACGTACATATTCGCTAACACATGAACCTATCGGATTTTTGCATTTGTACTGCTTTACAGATTACAAAAACGCGGAGGATGCTCACGATTCGAGGCAGAACGGCAACGTTGACGATAGTACATCAGCTAAAGACAAATCTTTAGCAGATTCCGCTATGAAGAATATTAAAATTATTATTGAGAATGATCTCGTTATGAAAAAGAGCGTAAACGGTAAACGCGAAGTTGGCGAAGATGAGGACGATGACGAGGAAGTTGTCGAAGAAAAGCCGGAAGACGGAGAGATCCAACAGCAGCAACAGAGGCAGCGGCAGTACCAGCAGTCGCAACAACAACAACAGCAACAACAACAACAACAGCAGCAGCAGCAGCAGCAGCAACAGCAAAAACAAGATGGTGACGAAAAACATCAACAACCGCAACAGAAGCCAAAACGACCAGATAATGTGGACGAAAGCCCACGGCAAAGAGAGATTATGGACAGTTCTATGGATGATGACAACCATACGATGAAACGTGAAGAAGACACAGTAGAGGAAGCTTCAGCGTCGAAGTCTAGATCGAAATCAAAGTCTAAATCGAGGTCCAATTCGAAATCAAGATCCAGTTCGAGATCTCGATCGAGGTCAGCTACCCCTGTACCCAAAAGCGTTAGTGTTACCCAAGAAGGTGAACTTGAACGCCAGGACGAACCGATAGATCAAGATTCACCGAACAAGTTTCTGAAAAAGACGACTCCACCATTTAGTGAGGACGAGTCCGTAAAGAGACAGAGTGGCAAATCAATGCCAGCCAACGAATCGAAGCGGATGATAGCTGCCCCTACTGGTAGTGGTGGCGGTTCACCGCGACGTAGTCGATCTCCCAAAAGGGTCGTTCGGCAGCCACCAACTGCCGCTGTTAAGAAAAAGCGCAACTCTAGCTCGTCGTCCAGTTCGTCTAGTAGTAGTTCTACCAGCCGAAGTGGTAGCAGCAGCAGTAGTAGCAGTAGTGATTCTTCATCGGATGGGAGCCCTCAGCAGCCAGCAAAAAAACCGCTAAGTGCACACGAGGGAAGCAGCGCCAGCCCGAAAAAATGCAGCAAGTCGCCGACACCGACTCCTGGTAAAAGGAGTCCTCCAAGTTCTCGAATCAGACGCGCCAGCTCTAGCCCGCCACCAGCTCCTGTCAAACGTAGGGGGTCGTCGCCACCAGTTAGTAGACGATCTCCCAGAAGGCGCAGTCGCTCGCCTAGAAGAAGATCACCTGGCAGTTCGGTGCGCCGGGGTAGTATAAAGCGACGCAGCCTTAGCCGACGTCGAAGTCCGAGCCCAAGGCGCCGCCGAAGAAGTTCGTCATCGAGAAGGCGAAGTGGGTCCGGACGGAGGCGAACTAACCGATGCAGTGGAAGCCGCGGCCCACCTAGAAGAGGCAGTCCCATTCGACGCCGAACACGATCGAGAAGCCCAAGACGGGGCGGCGCCAGACGATCACGAAGTCCTCGCAGACGGAGGTAGAACGACAAAAATATAAGGAGAAAAAATAGGTTGCGTGCGATTCCGATTAATTATAGTTTCCCTTAAATCTCCTTGTGTCTTGATGGATGATACATAGATGTATGAACAGACGTCAAGTAAAATATATGGCAAACACTATGAATTGAAGGATGATTGTAATAAAGAAGCAAAAAGAAAATATTAAAGTGGCTGCGACAACAACAAACATCAGTAGTGACACTACATAGTTGCTGCTGATGCCGATGGAAAAGTCTTCTGATCGAAATCTGCACGTACTTGCAGCACGAAAAGGAGGAGAAAATGATAAAGTGATGGATGTTAAACTTTCCCAGTCGCCTTAACCATGTTTTGTTCGTAGTATGTGGCTAATAGTGAGCGCTGACCGGTTTACTAAAAAGACTCATGTTCTTAAAACATAATAAGAATGCCATGCAAATATTCCTTGTTGGGCGGAAAACCGGGAGTGGTGAACAGCTACGGGCAGTGCACAAAAACTAATCTAAGCGCGTTATAAATTTCGCGATTACTTTCCAGTGGGGTAAGATCTGTGGCGTTACATTAAAGGGTGGCATAAGCAGATTATGGTACCCTCGTCGAGTTTAGCCGTCTCGACATTGGGACTGTGTTTACAAGTAGATAAAATAGAGAAAAGGAAAGATGGGAAAAAGCGGGGGGGGGGGGGGGTAATTCAACATTTTTTTTGTGGAAAAGGATAATATTCATTGCAACACTCGAGGTACCGAGTGGCTGTCATTGCAAATCTATAAGTAAATATTATAAGATTTACATATTAGCAGTAATAATAATACAATAAAAATTATGGTAAACACTGTATATAAGTTGTACAAAATCGACGCGTTTTTCCTCTTGGAAAACTAGTTATATATATAAAAAAAAAAAAACATGTTTTGAAGGTCGAGATAAGCTTTTGAGCGGTGGTAGAGCTCCGCAAAGCAATTTTCTTCATTTCTTTATTAATTGCCGATATTTATGTCAAAGTATTATATACAGGTATTATTTAGGGAAATGCAATTGTGAGAGAAGTGCTGCCTCGACTGAGAAAGGCTAGTTCTTCGAAAACGTAGGTCACCTTCTTTCCGTCGTAATCAAGGGCGTGTTATGGTTGGTGGTCGGATAGTTAGTTGATGGATATCGTTGCATAATCAAGGTGAAAGTTGATTGTTTCTTGAATTTTCCACGATACCCGTTTTCATTCAAAACATGTTACATATTTCTCTACAACACGAGCTCGCTATAATGTTTTGTTAGTTTTATTGGCGTTGGCGTGATACTGAGTGAAAGAGTAGAATCGTAGCTTTATACTGGGCCACCTTAGGAAGTTTCTGGCGAATTTTATCTAAACCCCATGGTACTAATAAAAATGTTTTCGTTCCTACGCTTTATCACCCTTTAACGTATTGAGTTTAAATTTTGAGGCAGCCTATCTACCTATATCGCAATAACTTTGTTAAAGTTATTGAAAAAGAAGTATATTTCCTGGGTGTTATTTTTAATGCGCAAGATATACGCTGACTAAGCTATGTTGTAACGTGCTTGCGTTACTAACTTACCATAAAAATATTGTAGCTGCCCACAGTGACAGATAATGATACACTATATCAAAAGCCTAGTTTGAGTTTTATTCCGTAATTAATATTTGCTCTCTGATTTAAGAATTATGCTCATTATCGAAACGGACAGAATATAGTTCGAAAGTGATTTTCGTCTGTAAAAATCGCACTTGCATTCTAATTATCTGATTTTTCAACTCTAAATGAGCGCATCAACTTTAGGGGATCAGCAAGTGGGCATCTTCACTGAAATACGTCAAGACCGATTGCTCAACAGTTTGCGTGTATTAACTAAGGTCTAGTTATATATTTTGCTCCAACTGAACGGAAGATCTTTTTTATTCTACAAGAAGTTCCATCGTAGTCTTCAAAAGTTAAGCTCAAGCTCACATTTGCTTTTAATCAGGAGTTATCTTTCTCAGTTCCAGGACACTTAACCTAGTTAACATACGGATTGTTTTTTGCCAACAGAGCTCGAATTCCGTTGTTTATGGGCGACAGTATCGCTCCATTAAAACGCGAACACTTGTTACTTGAGGTCTTGTCAGGCGGACTACGGCTGCGATTAAAACCAAACGTGACTCTAGAGAAAAAAGTGTTCGTTATTTAGTGACCTGTCCGTACAAGGCTTTCATATTAAAGCCAAAATTTTACTTTACTTCGCTGTTGTAAATAGCCTTTAGTGAAGAGTTGAGCGAAGATCAGTTCACGGTATCGTATTTTAACATACCTTATTTTTACTTGATAGGTTAGTAATACTTACCATACACCTCAACGTAAATAATAAATAAAATAGACGTAAGTAAATATTCTAACATTTGTTGCGATACATTTCCACAAAAAATACAAACGTTTCTGTCCAATATTCTATACCCTGACGTTATAATGGATGTTTCTTTGTTTGTATGTATTCAAAAAAGTGATTCCCCAAAAGTGACTTGGGGGATTCAATAATAGCACCTCGTTGCTAAAGGGCGTCAACTCCCTGGTCTCGGCTGGCTATCCAAAATCGATGAGAATCGCCTAAAGGCAGTTTTGAGATAAGGCGGCCGGTAAACAATTTGAGCGTTTGCTGAAAAGATGACAATTATAAAAATGTCGGCAGACGTCTTGAACTTATAAGGTATACTTGAAAATTAAGAATCTAGTTGCTAACAAGCTAAGCAACGAACGCACAGAAACGTAGCTTCTAAATATTTCGCCCGGCACTGAGAAATACGTAACAAGTATGGCAGGTTTCGGCACAGAGCAGTTACGGATGATGAGAAGCGATGTGATCTTGACGATATGAAGCAGAAAAAGGGTTTGTCGTGAGATACGCTCAAAGCTCGAGTCGAACCAGATATACATCCAAAAAAGGCTGTGACTTACGTCTAGTAAAAAAAAATCTTATACTTTGGGTAATGCTTGAGGAAAACGAGACGGTCAAAAATTACCTGTATTTGGCCGCCAATGACGATACCAAGACGAAAGAGAGTGAGTTTTGCACTCTCCAGTTACTCTCCAGGCCTCGTAGCGAAAGATTAAATTATTTTTCGATCACTGACGAATAAAATTCGTAGTAATACATTTGACAATCTGGAAAGTTTCAAAAATAGACAGTGCGAGCTTTTCAACGAAATGTAGTAAATTATTTCGTCAGGAGAAGCGCGAAAATTTTAAGAAATGATAGTGGCACACAATAAACATATCCGTTGTTAGAATTCGAGTGACAAAGTCATTTACAGCTTACTGTCGCTATTGTTCGTGCGAGTCACTATTGCAGGATACATGTTTGTTCTTAGATTAGCATAGCGTCAGTAAAAAGTTATCCAAACGTAGAGCACTGATACTTTTTGTTTTTTCGTTTAAGCAGGGATTTGAATTTTTTTCTAAAGGTATTAGTATATTCTACGGGCTTGGATCTGTTAGTATCTAGAATTTGATAATCCTTTCTACTGAACTGGTAATTGAAAGATTTTTTTCAGCCAGAAGAAACGTACCCGAGCCAGTAACTACGCACCTCACTGCAGAATAGTAGACAGTGGTTGCGTCTATTGATGTTTTGTGATAACGTACAGTGGCCGTAGAACAAGCTGAGTGGACAATAATTGTTCAGTAAACAACAGCGAGCTTACCTAAATACTTTACAAAGTAGCTGTTCTGACAAAAAACTGTCTCCATTGAACTCGTATTACAATTATTCATTTTATTATAAGTTAACTGATAGTAGCAGCAGCAAAACTACTGTTTTCAGTAACAGTGCTAGCTGTGTCTACGTAATAATGGAGTATGTAACATGTTTGCCTGCTAAATTTCAGAATTTAAGAAATAAGCGGTGGTCTTGATTTGAATTTTGGCAGAGACACACTTCGTTTCCTACTATAGAGCCAGCCGTATGATAAAGTACGTTTTAATCGTATATGACAAAAAAAGATTCGAAAAGTTTAGCTTAGAAGTCGAATTTTGGTTTTAGTGTCTGAAGTTCACCATAATTTACTCAAGTTATGAGCTCATCCTCAAAGACTTTTAATTCATGCGGTACAAAGCTGGTTAGCTTAATTGGTAAGCTCCCACATTACTGCCGCTTCACCTCCATAGGCGGTTTGCATTAGCCCATCAGGCCGATTGCATGATATCGTACCTCACGTTCGGCAAATTCTTATCACTAATACATCTAGCTGGGTCGATCACGAAACCGTCGTACAATAGCCGATTTCCAAAGGCGACTATTAGCGAGGCGGGATTCACTCTCTGAGGACAAATACAACTGACGGTGGTTACAGGGGTACTATCTAGCGGACTTACAACCTGTAATATCGATTCACACAAGTGAATTAACTCTACTGTCAACCGTAAAAATGTTTGTAGCAATAAATCTATAGTGCCAACATGTAAGGATACCATCTTTAACCTTAGAATCCAAAATGTTTGCGCATTTACAGTAATGCGCTTCCAAGATGACAAGCTTAGCAACGGCCTGTGGCATTTTGCCTCGGTAGCCTTTAAATGCCTGAAGTTAGCTGAGCAAATGCGACGCAGCATAAAATGTGTCAGGAAGCTTTTACCACACAGCGGGGGAGAAGATTATGATTGTATATAACAGTTCCAGGTGAGTGTGGATAAACTGTAAAACAACAAGACTTACTATTTCACTGTTTTGTTAATGACAAAAAGGGAAATATTACAGTAACCTTGACCAAGTCACCCTATATATTTGCAGCTTCGAAGGCTTGTAGTTACTAGATCAAAGTTTTTGTAGAATAATCCTAAATTATTATGCAGTAAAAACGCAGCTGCTTATTATTTCGGTGCGATGAGTCACATAGCAAACATTTCTAAAAGTGCATGCGTATCTTAAAATAATAACATGTATTGCTAGTAGTAACTTCTGGTGAACTCAGCTGATGGAGGTAAAACGTGCTCGAAAGGGCTCCTCAAGAAGTCAACGTAGTTTGCGCGAGGAACTTCTTGGAGCGTACCCTTATCACACTCTAACTTATAGCTTGTTACCAAGCACAATGCAATAGAAATAATAGTAAACTAGCACAAAGTCCAATGGTGCGTCTGAGCGGACAATATGAACTTAATTTTAAGCATCCTGATAGATCGACTAATCCGGACTATGGGCACCTTCTAGATAACAACCCCATTTCGCCAGCAACATATGGACATGTTCACTATCGAGCCATCGATTTTTTCTACCAGTGTTGCGTTTTTTTGGCACCATAACTGTGACAAAGCAACGCTTTTTGGGCGAATATATGCTAGAAACGCTCTAGACCAAATCTTCCAAGCCTCGCGAGTATAAATGTGAGCCAATAACCGAGTCTGAACGATTTAGACGCAAAATATCACGTTTTCGTTTTTGCTCATTTTGAGCGAAATTTCAACTTCACGTTAACGACTTCAGTCCTTAACACAAACTGTTTAGCTTCGAGCTGACTGTAGGACCGGGCGGGTTGAATAGATCGTCTAGAGGGGTAGGTTTAGTTCTCAGCAAGACTCCGGACTTCGAAAACTATTCCCGTCATAGAAATAGTTAATTCGCCGGACATCAGTGATCAACTTACCGGAGGAGAGAACGACTCAGGCAGAGGAAGACCCGTCAATTTCTACTCTTCAATATGGTAG